CACACACACACACACACACACTCACACACTCTCACACACACACACACACACACTCACACACACACACACACACACACACACACACACACACTCTCACACACAGTATCTCACACACACACACACACACTCTCTCTCTCACACACACACAAATACAAATTACTGCCCACTAACTAGTGGGTAGTGCTGTCAAACGATTAATCGCAATCCAAAATAAAAGTTTTTGTTTACATAATATATGTGTGTGTGTGTACTGTGTATATTTGTTATGTACTGTACTTATAAATACGCACTCATACAGTATTTCTTTTGAAAATATTTACATGTATATATTTATATTATATATAAATATATAATATATACAAATATAAAAATGTTCTTTATAATAAATATATAATTATAAATGAATATATTTAATTTATAAACATAAAATTTTTCTCAAATATATACATGCATGTGTGTATTTATATATACATAATAAATACACACAGCACACATACATATATTATGTAAACAAAAACGTTTATTTTGATGTGATTAATGGTTTGACAACACTAGTCTCTATATTAATAAGTGTACGGTGTGTGTAGAGCGTGCTGACCTGCGCACGCTGGCGATGGTCTCTCGGTTCTTGAAGCGGCTGAATCTGGCCGTGTAGTTGAGGGTCTTCATGAAGACCTCCGACAGCTCCTGCTCGTCCTCCGCGCTCTCGTTCTGCTGCTTGCGATGCTCCAGCAACATGTGAACCTCCGAGTTCAGCAGCGTCTCTGCGTTCTCAAACTCTGAGACACATCATGAGCACATCTCTGCATTACCACAACACAACCCTGAACTAGACCACTGCGATCACAGCCGAGTCAAAACAGAATCTAGCAATCTGACCTCATTTGGTGAGTGATGGAGATGATAGAGACATTATCACAATAATAGGAATAAGGCATCACTACTCTTCAGAATCAGAATGAGCTTTATTGCCAGCTATGTTTACACATACGAGGAACTTGTTTTAGTGCCACAGAATGACAGCGACAAGACAAACAGACAATGTACAAAATAGCAAAAATACAATAGTGTATGTACAGGTATGTCAGGTGCAAATTTGAAAAGGAAATAAGTATCTTTAAATGTTATTCATATTTTTTTTTGTAACAGGAAAAAACCCTGAAACAAATGAAGAACGTAATTAACATTGCTGTAATTCTGAAACGTAAAAAAAAAGTTAAACAAAAATAATAATTTAACTATTGCAAATGAAACAGCAATTATTGAACAAATCACAATTATACAAACAAAACAAATGCATATAAAACATGTATTTGTAGATACACCATTGTGTTTAAGCATCATATACACTATATATATATATATATATATATCGATATTTCATTAAAAATTAATACTAGGAAACTCATGTAGGTAAGAGTGATTATTTAAGAGACAATAAGAACAGAGAAACTAAGTACAAATAAATTCAATAAAACAAACATGCAAATACATTTAGGAAACCCAAAGTAATGCGTTACTTTACTAGTTACTTGAAAAAAGTAATCTGATTACGTAACTCGCGTTACTTGTAATTCGTTACCCACAACACTGTTTATATAGCGCTTTATCATGTGTTGCTGTACACCCAAAGCGCTTTGCAATCATGTTGGGGGGTCTCTCCTCAACCACCAGCAGTGTGCAGCAGCCACATTATGGATTATGCATTATGGCACCAACTGCCTCGTCTTCCTATCTGCTTACAGCAACTGAAACAAAAGCAAAGGTCAAGCACTCCCTCAATGGTGTTGAGTCAGGAATCCCGTTGTGTTGGGCGACTCGGTGATGATGAGGATAGCTTTATCTCAGTTTGAGCATTACTCTTTATTATTCTTCAAGCTGAAGGAGAATGTATTAACCACTTGCATGCATATGCACTGGCACGCCATTCATAGGTGAAGTAAATATTATCTCATAAGAAGAGTTTAATGAATTGTTGTCAATATCACACAGCCCTAATCCACACCTCTATTGAATATAAAACTTAAGGTCCATATGCTATTTTTGCATTATACTCTGGATTACCACTAACAATATGTTTTGACTTGTTTGTAAAAATCATGTTAAATGTATTTAAATAGGACACCCATGCTCCTTCTCCAAGATGGTGTGGTTATAGCACTCACCAGCAGCGCCTTTTGTTTAAAACCACTTGATAAACTATGATTTCTTCTAAAGGTAAAATAGCTGAGCAATGGTGGACAGGGCTACTTAATATAGCCTTTGCCAGCCAGGTTGGGTATTTGTACTTAGTGCCTATCAACTGGTAATACAATCCTGCAGTAGGGCTAACCTTTTGGGGAAATGTAATAACAAGAGAATACTAAGGGAAAAGTTAGCGAGAAACAAAAACAGCAGAAAACTAAAACAGGGTAAAAAGACAATATTTTATTAATTTAAACAGAGTTATCAGGATGCTTATCCATTCAAATTCAGTAACAAAAAAAAATCCAAATTCCAAGTAGCCTGAAAGAAATATTAAATTACATATTTTTTAAAGAAGAAATCTTTTATTTTTAAAAACACTTCCTGAATTGATTGTGACATCAAATTTGATTGTGATACCCTTTACCTTTGTCAGAATTTACATTTGTAAACCCCTTTACAAGACATTCATCAAAACTCATTTTAAACATTTAATAATTAAAGCCTCGGTTTTTCTTCTTTTCAGTTTTAACAGTATTTTATGGAAACGTATGAAAGTTGTTTTTGACAAATTGCTTAGTTACATTGAGTACTTAATTTAAAGTGTTTTATGAGCTGAACTTTGGAAATGTCACGTTTAGTTGCAATGGCCCATTCAATTTAGAAATTGGACTTAAACTTCAAACAAAGTATATGCATTATCAGCGAATTTCAATAATGTGGCAGAGATGAATTAGAAACAAATGGTATTTTGGTAGAAAAAGACATTACACTTAAGAAACTGAGAAAAAAAAGACATTAAACGTAAGAAACTGAGGGGGAAAAAAAGTTTAAGCACACTATCCCCCGGTTTCACAGACAAGGCTTAAGCCTAGTCCCAGACTAAAATGTAAATCTGAGCCGTTTCAACTGAAAGAAACTTGCACTGATTGATCTTAAAACATATCAGTGCCTTTGTTTTGTCTCAAGATGCACACCAGTAATGTTTTTTTTCTAAGACACGTTTATAAAAATGACTTAAATGTCCTAATTGAACTATGGCCTAATCCTGGTTTAGTCTAATCTCTGTCTGTGAAGCCAGGCCTTTAAGCCATCAACTCACGATCCCCAACTGGAAATAAAGCACTTAATACCTGAATCGGGCCTCAAATGTATGGGTTGCTTTCCAAACTCACTATCTGATGAGAAATTAAGAGAATATAAATATGAAGTCTTTCTGTTTGCACATTTCATTGAACACGTTTAATTTGTATATCTATAAAACACCTCTTGGATATTGTGAAGATCAGCATCCACCTCAGTGTCCTCCTTGAAATCTACATGTGTCCTGTTGTGTCTCTGTTCTACTGACTGATCTAGTATTTGTCATCTTCTGCATCGCTGAGAGCTTCACCGCCAGCGAGAGATACGCTCTGTGTCAATCTCTTCCGGAAGTGTCCGTTGGGCACCTGCCAGCCTATCCGTGACCTCGTGCGCATCGAGGCGCTGACCGTGTTCGCGCGGCCTAGGCTGGTGGCCACCGCTGCCTCAAAGGTAAGAGTTTCCATAGGAGCGGCAGAATCAGGGCTGTGCTCGTCATCTTGTAGGGCGAGGAAGGACTCGGAAGGATAGCGGCGTGCGGATGAACCCAGATATTCACCCACTTCAAATTGGGTACTTTCCTGCTGTCTCGCCTCCTGGTCTTCAGCACCGTCATCCCATAAAGCAGTACTACAGCACCCTATCATCTGCTGGACGGTTGTGTCGCCATCGTCATCATCATCATCAACGTGCGATGAAGGTTGCGTGTGGCACACTAAGGGTGAGTAGGAGATGTGAGGGTGTGAGCAGGTGGAGGTCTGGGACAGGCGACGCTTGCCGCTCGGGGTGCTGGACTCGGAGGTGGAGGGAACGGGGCTTTCGGAGCTGTTTCCCTGCGGAGAAATCAGATTTTAATCAAATTGAGGTCATTTCAAGTTAAAGGGTCCATCTTCTGCCATTTTGGAGAGTACCATGATGCATGCACATGCTTTGCGTCCAAGCGGCAACCTCCGGCTCTCTTTCGTGAAGCCAACACGGAAGGGACTTAAACTGTAATTCATCGACTGGCTGCAAAAGGGAGTCAGTCCCATAGACTCCCCATGTTAAAATGCCCAACTGTACAGCAGGAAAAAACATGTTTACAGCTTGGTTCAAAAAATTATTTTGGTCTATATAGCTAATTTTGCTCTTCATGACAACTGTGAGGGGGGTGAATTTTTTATAACTTATCCGTTTAAATTATATTAAGCCTTAAAGTTCTGCATAATTAAGGGCGTGGCCACTTGAGTGACAGCTGGATTGCCGCTGCGATTACCGGCATCGAGCTAGGTGGGCGTGGTTTCAGCAACCAGCTCCCGCCTCTTTGCCCAATTATCCGGGAGTGACGCGCTGCCAAGATGGCAACAGCTGGCTCCGCCCACTTTGAGCTTCAAAAATGCTCTTCAGAAAACTACGGGTGACGTCACGGACACTAAGGCCATGTTTTTAAACAGTCTATGTTTGCGTCGTGGCACTCTCAAAAATGGCGGAAGACTGTAACTCTGGGGAGAATAATGTCGCTATTTTTGTTTTCTGTTCGCACAAAAAGTATTCTTGTAGCTTCACAAAATTGAAGTTTAGCCACTGATGTCACATGGACTGTTTTGCTGATGTCCTTCCTACGTTTCTGGACCTGGGAACATTTCAGTTGCGTTGCGGTCTATGCAGGGTCAGAGAGCTCTCCGACTTCATTAAAAATATCTTAATTTGTGGGTTTGGAATGACATGAGAGTGAGTAATTAATGACAGAATTTTCATTTTGGGTGAACTATCCCTTTAAGATACAGTAGGAGCTTCGGCTGATACAATACTTTTTGAGCAATGTTGCTTTCAACGGGCAACCTGTGAGATACAGGGCCCACGACTGATCTAAAGTATCCAGATAGAAATTGGTTACCCATTCTCAATAGGAAAGTGCCCAAGCAATGTTGCTAAAAAAAAGTTGCCCGGCAAAATTGCTCAAAAAGTTTCCCCGTGTATGATCAGTCTTATAGTATCTTAAAGGGATAGTTCACCCAAAAAAGAAAATTACCCCATAATTTACTCACCCTCAACCATCCTATGCGTTTATGACTTTCTTCATTCAGACAAATACAATCGGAGTTCTATTTAAAAATGGCATGGCTCTTCCAAGCTTTATAATGGCAGTGAATGGCTGTTGAGAATTTTAAGTCCAATAAAGTGCATCCATCCATCATAAAAAGTGCTCCACACAGCTCCGGGGGCTGAGTAAAGGCCTCTTGAAGTGAATCAGTGCGTTTTTGTAAGAAAAATATGCATATTTAAAAAGTTATAAACCGTAATCTCTAGTCTCCGCTAACTGTCATACGCGCGTTAACGAAAGAGTGGCATCCCAGCGGATTTTATGATGGATGGATGCATTTTTTTTCTATTGGACTATTGCATATCATCACCCATGCACTGCCATTATAAAGCTTGGAAGAGCCAGGACATTTTTTAATATAACTCCGATTGTATTCATCTGAAAGAAGAAAGTCGTATACACCTAGGATAGCTTCAGAGTAAGTAAATCATGGTGTAATTTCCATTTTTGGGTGAACTATCCCTTTAAGCTGGTAGCTGGTTTCTATATGGTCTAAACAGCCTGACCCAGTGTTGCTCTGGATCTGAGTCTCACTGCTTAGTGTCTCAATTTGGATCTGGATTTTGGCTTAAGGTCCTTGACGAAACCTAAACATAGAACAGTTCTTTCTTCTTTAATTTCTAACTGTCCAGCAGGGGGCAGCATTTGTAGCATAATGTTCAGTTAAACATCCTTTAGTTTTTTTTTTTTTTCTCAAAAAGCTGTGAGAGGTCATGCGAAACAACCTTTACAAATAGATATTTGAGCTGTTTGTTTACCTGTCTGGTGACCCCATGCATGCGCTCCTCACTGGGAGAGCGGGAACGAGATTTTGAGTTGGAGTTATCCGGGGAAAGTAAGAACCGTTGTTCTTTTGGTCGTCCTCGCACCTTTTCCATGTACTGTGTCTGGTCTGAGTGGGACACTGTAAATTGTGAAATAAAGCACTCGAGTTATAAACAAGGGATTTCATATCTTAAACGGCATGTGTTTTCATGGGGATTCTCATAAAAGCATATGACTACAGAACTGTTCAAGCCAAAGCAGAGCAAAGGGTAAGTTCTTGTGCTATATGTGTATTGTATGTGAGAGAGAAAGGTTAAATTGTTCAAATCATATTTTCCAATTTAGTAACATGCTGTAACTTTTAGAGCTTCCTCCTGGTCCTAGAGTGTTTGACGTACACGCATGCATTTTATCAGCTCTTGTCTCTTGCAGGGTGACTCAGTGGACAAGCGTTGGCTGGTGTATTTGTGTATTCTGGAGTTGTGCGGTGTCTTTTCACTTTACGAGGGAAATGCAGTAACCCACCTGCAGCTTTGTAGCTCTTGTGTCTGGTTCTGAATGCATGTTCAGGTGGGCGATCATCCCCCCACATGCCATTCAACCCTGATTCATCAACCTGCACATCAGCATCACATTAGATACAGTCAGCGCAACATCTAGTCAGTCTGCAACTCATCCTTCTATAGTTCACTTTTTACTATTTGTAATAATATCTATTCCAAGAAAATTATTTGTTTTTGCTATTTTAATTGTTAACCTCTTGATAACATATTGTGTTGTTTAACCCAGAAACCAGGTGAGAAGAATTTATTTTTCCTTGCCAACTATTTCAATAGGAAGAAGACTAGGTACCTGAGAGGCATCGTAGTCTTCACTGCTGTCTGTACGGTGGGTCATGGGCTGCAATAACAGCTCCTGTGGTGATATGGGGCTTAAAGCCACAAACCCTCCACTGGTCCTACAACACAGAACCACATCTTTAATGCATACACAATACTGTGAGTGAAACCTTAAACACCTATAATATAAGTCACTATGCAGTGTACTTAACAGTATAGTTTATATGCTATTAAGCAGCAATGATAAACGTGTATTGTGCCATACACTCACAATATTAAGCATGCATTGGAGTATATATTGATACAGTTCAGTTATGTGTTATTTTAAACATGACCCTTCTTTGAAGACATTGGAACTTACAAGGCTGATCCAGCGCTGTGAGATATCAGGGGCAGGGTGGGACTTTTCTGTACAAAAGGGGATAAAAAATACTGTGAAATTATAAAAAAAGGACAAAGCTTTATGTATTTGTAGCATACACAAAACATATAATATGTAAATATGTCTATAGATAAATTAATCCTTAAAAAAAGCATGAAATAATGAGTACAAATGAGTCTAAATTTGAAAAAAGTCAGCCTACCTGTGCCTCAATCTGTTGCCTCAACTTCTTGGCTTTGCTCTGCTTAAAGTAATCCATGATCATCATAGAAGCATAGATCTTTCCAACGGTCATGTCCGTGTCTGGAGATACATATATTCACAGTCATTATGAAAGTACAACAGATTCATTTACATCAACCAATCCAAACTTTTAACATAGGCCAGTTTAATGCTCATAACACTGTTAAAATGGAAAGGTGTCATGTAATACCTACGGAGCCCCTAAAGGAATAAGGTGATGCCAAAATAATTAGATGACAATGCTTTTGCATTTCCACAAGAAACTTTGCATTTGCTTGCAAAACATTTGATGGAAATACTATGACGCGGGAACAAAAACTTTGAACATTCGTGAGTGAATGCAAAGTTTCTCCAGAGAACACAATATTTTGAAAAAAATTATGTTTCCCATGAATGCAATACTTTTGCGAGCAAAATAAAAATAATTGAAAAATAATTGCTTCCTATTTTTTTCCATCACTATTGCTGCGTTCAAGTCCTCCTGGGACGTTCGTAGTTACGAGTTGACAAGTCAGTTTGGTCGGCACATGATGGCGGTGTACAACAGAGTCTGTTAACTCTGCTTATAAATTAATATTTTACGTTTTTAATATATCTTTTTTTAGACCAGGATCCCAGTATAACTGATTTTCAGCATCAACAAATGCTAAAATACAGAGATTAAAAAAAGCTGTTCGCTAAATGCAACATGCAACATGGCAAATCAAAAGATTTTTCACCTATAGGTAAAAATAATAACGATAGCATTTTTTTTACTTGGATTTCATTAACTAGCTGCGTAACAAGAACATGACCAATTTAAGTTTGTAGGACAACTAAACTATCGATTTAAACAAAACTTTACCGTCAACTACAGACGTTGCATCCATCGATTCCGCCATGTTTCTCATTGACACGCCCCCAACTCTGAAACTCTGGGCTTAAAGAAAATTTAGAGTTTCCCACTCGTAATAACGACTTTGTGGTGGCGTTCATGTGCGTTCAACTCATAAATACGATCTATCCGACATGACTGGAACGCACCATAATTTCCACTAGTGGTCTCTTGCTTTTGTACCTCATTGTATGTGAAACCGGTTTCTTCAACATATTTCTCAAAATATGTTGTAGTGCTGACATTCTACTTGAAAATGGTCTTTCTCAGTCCATACTTTTCTTTCGTGTACCGAAAGGATGAAGAAGAGTAGTTTCCCCAGCTCATGACAGGTTTTTGGTGATGCTCACCTGAATCGCCAGTTTCTCGAACACTCCCTCCATTTCCTGTTGTCTCTTTTACAATGACTGTATAGCAGCCACTTCCTTTTTCACACAACCACATTTTCAGCAAATCTGGCTCACTGTATCTGTGTTACATAACAAGTGAAAGGAGGGGGGCAGGACATGCACTTTCTCATGCAGCCGCGTCAGAGCTTTTGTCATGAGGTAACGCTGAGGTCATCAGGGTACCAGAGGGACCTGCCATCAAGATGACCTTCCATCTTCCTTAAATTTATAAGAGTTGAACTCTTCTCAGTGGTGACAGTCAAAGGCCAAGTAAAAATAGATCCAGTCAATGAGAATAGAAGACACATTGACCACAGAGAAAGAAGGAGTTATAGAGAGAGACAGCTCACAAGCATAGACGCGTAGCCAGCAGGAAATAATCAGGGTGATTGGATTACACTGCAATATTCATCTGCATGTCATTCTCTGCAGGGGAACGTGCTCCTTGAATGGCTACTGGACCACTGAAATCATTTAGAGTGCCCTATCTACTTATCCTTATATACATGCAATGCATACTTTTTCATATTTATCATATTCTTGTGATAGTCATTATGATATTGTTAAAGAGGTGAAAGGAAGACTGTTTTCTGTTTTAATACATTTTAAAATGTAATTTATTCCTGTGATGGCAAATCTGAAATTTTTCGCATCATTACTCCAGTTTTCAGTGTCACATGATCCTTCAGAAACATGAATTATTATCAATGATGAAAACAGCTGCTTAATACTTTTGTGAAAACCATTATTCATTCTTTGATGACTAGAAAGTTTAAAAGAACAGCATTTGTTTGAAATAGATTTTTTTGAAACAAGGTGAACGTCTTTACTGTCACTTCTGATCGATTTAACGCATCCTTGCTGAATAAACATTAATTACAGAAAGAAAAATAATTCTGAACCAGAATTTCGAATAGTAGTGTAAAAATAGCTGTGAACCAATTCCTTGTATTTGTTGCTTCTTCGTAAATTAACGTTATTTGAACTTGAATAACATCCAATAGTCCAGTAACTTATTTGTAGGTAAAGTTTAATAACAGAATTAACTGGAAAATATTACATGGTTAAAAAATTGTATTGCTCCAATATTGCATCACAAAAACATTGCCAATAATTATGTCATCATCACTAAGAGATATTATATTACACACCATAATTGATTTAAAATACATGTATTTCATACTAAGTATGCTTCAAAGACATACTTATTGACATATCACTTAAGATTACTGATATGAAATTATAATTACATTTATTTGGAGTATTTCTTTGTTGCACAATGCACATTTCTTAATATTATGCCTAAAATGTGTTTTAATATCACTATGAATAATGATTGTATGATCTCTGTATCAGTCTTTAAATGCAAGATATTTAAAGTGTACCTGAAGTATACTTGCAATAGTTCCACTTTAGCACAGATATGCTGAAGTATACTGTATCTTTAGTTGGACTTCAGCACTACTTCCTCACAATTAGTGACCAGTTTAGTATTCCAAAAGTACAATTGCAGGGTATTTTTATTAAGCATATAAATATGTAAATGTATTTGTATTAGGCTTAGCACAAAATGAATATATTTCAAATACCTTTTACCTTTATTTTTTTCACTAGGGTTAACAATTGCTTAATCCACACAGTTATTTATTCCACATCTATATAAAAAACACTGGTAACTTATGGTTCTTACATTGGAGGAGAGTGAGCAGTAATTATTGGTGAAATTCCGCTGACCACATGTCAGGAACAAGAAGCACATTTTTATTGCTCAGAGTTTGCTATTTTATAGCAGGATGGAGCTCAATTGAGTTTTTAATTTCATAATATCAAGTTTGTCTCAGATGTCTCTCCTAAAATTCTTTAAGGAAAACAAAAATAGACACAAATGAAACGATTGTTAAGAGTAAGGGTACAGAGCTATAAAATGATTATGAATCACACAGCTCGAATAATGCTTATGGAATAATTGATGGGCAATGTTTCCATTAAGATTGAAATCATATTGAAATACTTTTTGTTGCGGACTTTGTTATATTGGCAAATCTAAGCACGTTTGAAACATTATTTCAATCATGACAACTCTCGGAAGATTTAACATGGTGATGGATATGACCATGTTAATGTATTTGGTCTTGGCGGAATAGATCTGCTACGCTGCTGCTGAAGGTTATTGCTGTAGTTGTAGATTATTGCTGCTGCTGCAAGCAAGTACAGGAACTTGCTACTGCCAATGCATATGGCGATACGGTGCCGTGAGTATTTAAGACATACTGCTGCTGCACAAATAGCATATAAAATAACCCATAGCAGATCTATACAGGTGGAGCTGGGGAAGGTGGAGGGTTTCAGAGAAACTCTGAAAGCGCGCTGCAGGAATCTCTAGTGAATGCTAGCCAGCCATATAAATGCAAGGCAGTAAGCTCATTGGCTGCATATGCAGAATGAACAAATCAGCATGGGCCAAGTCGTTTAACTCTCTGAATATCATCAGTTACATTAACAACCCGTCAGCCTGCACCATCTAGAGTTTCATGACTGAACTATATATTAATATCTATTGAAACACTGCAGGAGACACTTATTTAGATTACTAGGATGTTTTTTTTCTCAGGAGAGAATTCTAAAAAGCAAGAATTTAAGAAAGAGTCAATCTCGTTGCTGTTTTGAAGTAACAGTCGAAGAAATCATCTGGGATTTCTCTTATCCTACTGTACCAATAGGGAATGGGAAAAGATGACTGAGTGCTATTGAAACCATGCCTCTAGAGAAGGCCTCAGTATGTTTAATCACAAAACATGATTCATACATTTTCATCAAAATCAAGCCAATATAAATCATTGCAGTGCTCTGAGATTTCACAAGTCCTGTGTTGAATGTGGAAGAGATTGTTTTGATATTGTGCCTTCAAACCGTTATCGCTTCCACCCAGCACTAAGGCCTATTTTAGTCAAAGTGTTAGGGAAATCCTTTTGATATCATCACTTTTAAATGTCAGTTATATTTTGAATGGTCTTTTTTGATTAGATAACATACACAGCACACAACAGAACAGAGGAAAGATTCATCTGGCATAAAGTCGTCATTGAAGATGTATATCTTGTGTATTTTTCATTAAGGTCAGCAAAAACCCAGATGCAACCCTCTTAGATCAGGATCCTGGTTCACCATCTGAGCTTTGGCTGAAACGTGCTGACAGTGTTTGCCTTGAGCCGGTGTCTGCAGGTAATATTACAAAAAGATTGCTCTTTTCTTAGCTCAGGTGTTCTCAGTTATGTTTCAAAGAAGTATCAATTTTGCCTCAGATGTTTTCTCTAAAAAAACACAATGTAGAAAAAAAAATTACTTAAATTTTTTTACGATTCTTCTGTAATTATGCTTATTATTAATGAACTACATTATTTATTTTCACATAGCATCAGTATTTTGGTCAGGTAAATTAATTATGAAACATTGGGTGAGTGCACATATGTTTTTTTGTTGTTGGTGTTGTGACGATAACAGACACTTGCATTGACAAGTGTTTGTGTGAGAGGGTTATGAGATATCAGCAACTTTAGTTTAAAAGAGAACAAAGATACATTTATCGGTCATAACTTCTAGAGAAAAGTATTACAGTGGACAAAGATGAATCTTGTTAGAGCACATGTGTCGACCGTCTGCGTTCATGCATGCTATGAAATGCAGTATACTTTGAAAGGCTACGCATTCGACTGTACGAATACGCTAGTGTATGTTTTATTTGGGCTTAACAGTATTGGTTCCTTTCAGGTCTTCCATCTGTGGGAGCGATTACCCTACAGAGTCCTGCTTTACTCTGTACTGAGAGCTCTTTGCCGGAACCGTCAGCTTGTGAGGAGCCCACGCCACACAACAGAGAGGAGAATGTAGCTGGGTCAGTGTTTACATTCCTTCCCTTCTTACAGGACAAGGCTTGTGTGTGTTTATGTAAAATCCTCACACAAAGATGATCCAGCGTGAGGTGAGACTGTGCAGGAACATTTGAACAGTTTATACTGTCACCCACCGTGGCCCCAATAAATTACTTTGACTCCCAACTGGTAGGCTACGTGTAAACCCTTTTAGCGTGGACCAAAAAAAACCCAAAGGAGACATTCTTCTTGGGAAATGCAATCGAGAAAAATGTCTTTTTCCATTATTATTTTGCTACACTCAATATTTAGAGACCAGAACTTCATAGAGACCTGGACTGAGCCCTTTTGACTTAGACATACTTGGAACTACGTAGCAACTACCCAGAACACCCTAGCAACTACATAACAACCACCTAGGGTGCCTAATCACCTATAGGGTTGCAAACATTTTTGAAAATTTCCAGTAAATTTTGGAAACATTTCAGAAATTTGGGAAACTTTCCAGGATTGTTTTGAATATTCCAGGGATTTTTGGAAAGTTTCCGGAAATGTTCCACCCCTTTGCAACCCTAATCACCTAGCAGCCACTGATCAACTATTTAGAACATCTACCAAACAACCACCTTTGTAACCACCAGATAACTGCTTAGAACACTTAAAAAAAAACTAGAACAGAACACTCTAGTTAATCATATAACAATCATCAACCACTGTGGACACCTTAAAGGGGTCCTATTATACTGTTTTACAAAGTCTTGATTTGTTTTTTGGGGTGTACTAGAAAATTTTTTCATGCTTAATTGTTACAAAAACGCATTATATTTCACATATTTTACATCATTGCAGCATCTCTCTTCCCAGTCTGTCTCAAACGCCCTGTTTAGTTCCTGTTTCGATGAAGCCCCTCCTTCCAAAATACAAAATATGCTCTGATTGGTTAGTTGCTCTGAACGCCCAGTGCGTTGTGATTGGCGAACCGCTCAGAGCGTGTTCTGGAAATGACATGCCCCTTACCATAGCCGTGAGTTTCATCTGCTCAGCTGTAAATATTAACAATGTCGTCAATTTTGCCATACACTCTCAGAAATAAAAGTACAAAAGCTGTCACTGGGGTGGTACCTTTTCAAAATGTACACTTTTGTACTTTATTTAACCCTAAAGGGTGCATATTGGCACCTTAAATGTGCATATTAGTACCTTTTGAAAGGATACCACAACAGTGACAACTATTGTACCTTCTGAGAGTGTACCAGTTTGAGCCCAATTCAGACCCTGAGAATGTTTATGATCAAGAGGATCATGCAAAACCTTTGCAAACACAGTTTTTACAGGATGTTTAAGAGAAGTATGTGTTTTTATTTATTTATTTATTGATAACACTTTATAATAACTTTCAATTATAAACCATTATCAAACATTATATAATGCTTAACAGATCATTAGTTAATATATATTCACATAGCTAGACATAGATAATGTTCTTGTTAATGTTTACTAATGAACTTACTAATCATTACCTAATGATTAACATATGATTATTTAAAGTTCAGCCCGGGGTCGTCAAATGTGGTTGCCGCAAGCCCGCCGGACGCTCCTTCATAGAATCTGCTGGCCGCCGCTCACTCAAGCCCTCCGGCCTCCGCTCAATCTAGGTTGCCGTGTGTGACGCTGTGTGTTTCGTTGTGAAAGCGAAACTACATTGTTGTCGTTCCAAAAGAGGACACAACTAGAAATCAGTGGTTAAGTTGTATTTACAACACTGTTCCAGAACTGTTCAACCCAAATATTCAGATGTGTGCAGCACATTTTATGGAGGACTGTTTCCTGATCCTGGTAGAGTAGACTACAATGCCGGCTGTTCTGACTCACAGACTGTCAGTACGTTTTTTATATATAAAGAATTTGCCACTGACGATTCAAACGCGAGTTTTGAGCAGTGTAGAGTAGCGCTTGTTGTTTGTCATTTCTCCGATCACAAATGCAGACATGGTTTTATGTTTACGCGGCGCGATGCAACACGTAAAAAGACAGTATAATATATACATTATATATATATACATTATAATCCGTAATTATGTCCCCACTGGATGCAGCAAATGCCTCATTTATAATGGGTTTTAATATTTTTGTCTCGTCGCTCCGGCCGGGACAGGGCATCACAGTGTGGTAAGGGGCATAACATTTCCGTCACACACTTGAGGTATTCGGCCAATCAATGCACTGGAAGGCTGGCCAATCACAGCACACCTCGCTTTTCAGAACGATGAGCTTTGTAAAAATCGACGCGTTTCAGAAAGGCGGAGCATAGAGGAGAAACAATAATGTACAGTATGTGGAAAATAATGTGTTTTTTAACCTTAAACCGCATAAACACATTTCATTACACCAAATACACAAAATAATGTTCTTTTTAGCAACATCATATGACCCCTTTAATGTAGACTAAAATACTTACAAATGTCAGTAAACTTTCAGTTCATATGATCTTCATTTGTTGGTCTTTGTTTGTTGTGTAGACTTCTGTCTTAACAAATAATCTATTAATTATTTGTTCATGTTTTTGCAGTACCCAATCTAAAGTGGAAAATATTCATAATTTGCAAATGTTTATAAATGTTTACATTAGTAATGTAATCATTAATACCTTTATGAGCAGTCGTCTCGGGCAAAAAGTGTCCCGAAAGACCTGAATTTACCCTATTTACACATCTTTTCTAATCATTTATTAATCAATTGTTCATGTTTTTGCAGTAGCCAATCTAAAGTGGAAAATATTCATTTGTAAATGTTTATAAACGATTACTAATCATTTAGTATCTTTATGGGCATTGGAATTTTAGCTACTGTAACAAGGTTTGTGTAAAGGCTGGCTGGTTAAGTTTAGCTAAATGCTTGCTAAAGACATAACAGATTGTAATTTTGGTGCAAAATTTTTTTTATTGTCTCATCACTCACATTATTACATTATTATAGTATACCATTAAACGGGATGTTCCATGAATCATAAATAAACAGGAGAAAACTAATCATTTTTTTAAAGAATATACTTGTTAATTTATCAAAACAATGCAATATAAACAAATTGAACTGTTCCCTTATAGTAATTAAATTGACCCCTGTACACTTTATTGACCCTTTAACCAACCCTTAAACCTACCCATACCACCAAACCGGTCCCTAACCTTGCCCATATCACACCTCAATAGCAGTAAAGGTGTTTTGCATTAACACAAGCTTTTAATCATTTTATAACATCCGTTAAAATCATTTGTAGATATTTAATAAGTGCTTGATCATGTGGAATTGAAAGTTTAATGACATTTGTAAGCATTTTAACTTGCATGAAATAATGATTTGTTAAAAATAATTTAATGTTTAATAAGTTTATTAGCAAACATTAACAACACATTATCTCATGTTTCTAACTCTTCGAATATATATTAACTAATGATCCATTAAGCATTATATAATGTTTGTTAATGATTTATTAATGAAAGATATTATAAAGTGTTGCCTTTTTTGTAATTTTCTTGTACATTTTAGGTACAGTGTTATACACCATTTAAAAGTAATGGCACTTACTGTATACAGGAAAAGTGTCTATTCGCCATGGCGACAACAAGCTACTAAAGCAGCTCTTCTTCTTTATTCAGCTCTTCTTCCACCCAGAACACTGTAGTTAACCACATAGACAGGGTGCGAACTACGGGGGAGCTCGGCTCCCCTTAATAAGACATGGGCTCCCCTGAAAACGTGATTTGTGAAATTTTGGGGGGTGAGCTCACAGTAAGTCCTGAATCCAGTCCAGGCCAGGTCCAGGTTTTTGTTCTGGCAGCGCACAGGAATCCAAGGCCATTTCCAAAATTTCAGCAATTTCACCACAACAAAACTGAAAACATCCGTCTGTGTCTGACGCGGTGAGCAACGCACCCAAATGTTCTGTGCATTTTTGGTTCAAACAGCTATTCAATTTGATTCAAGCACAACAAATGTTACGCCACATGAGAATACACAACAACAACAACAACAACAACAACTGTAAAAAGCTGAACATCTACCAAAAATAACAATAGTCTCACTCATCCATGGGTTCTGCAGGTCAAAGTTTTGGTAACACTTTAATAATCCATATTAGACATTCTACTAACTATTTGCAACTCCATGTCCACTAGCACACTGTAAAAAAAATCTGTAGTTTTTACAAAATAATTTTGGCAGCTGTATTAAAAAATACAGAAAAACTGTAAACACATTTACGGCCCAAAACTGTAAATTTTACAGTATAAAACTGTAATTTACAAACAAGAAAATTTGAATGTAAACCAGTAAATTCAACAATGCACACTGCTATTAAAATCTGTTTTGTACCTTTAACATACTGACAACCACCATAATAATGCAGGTGGTAAAAGAGAAAGCCACATGAAGAATCAAAGCTCATCACAAGCAGCTTCGCCACGAGCAGAAGTATATACTAATATACAGAAGGTGCATTCATGCAAACACAAAACACCATCATGGTAACACACATGATACTTAAATAATGCATTCAGCTTTCATTAAACAACAGAAGATGTAACATAAAGCCCAAATATACATAACTAATAACAGAAACTATTAAAAAACATGATTATTTAAACAAAATACTTTAAAATGTGGAGTGTCATGCAGGGAATATCAGTTTACAGTTTGACTGTACATTATACATTGATGTTATTTTTACTTAAAATATATAAAAAAAATCAAATTACAGTATTTTACTGTAAAATTACATGAAATATCTGGTTAGATATTTTACAGTTTTTCCCTGTATATAGTACGGGAACTTACTGTTAACCTATTAACAGTTTTAAAATTACACTTATTTTTTACAGTGCAGTCATTAGTAGACTGTCTGCTTAATATCTGCTCAATCTTTATTTCGATGCTCCCCAAAACACACTGTTCTGACTACAGGTAACTTTACACATACGTCAACTTATTTTACTAACCCTAACCTTATGGCCAACTAATACTCTAATGAGAGTTAGTTGACATGTAGTTGCAAAGTTACTTAATGATTTTCAAAATAAAGTGTAACCAAAGTTGTTCTTGAAGGGTGAAGGCCCAGGATCTTTGCATATTCATAACTACTGTTAAATATGCTAACATATACATTTGAGTTGAACTACTGAACAGAGTTGCATCTGTATAAATGAATAAACCAAGCGAAATCAAAAAGAAACATGATTGTGGATGTTAATGAGCAGCGGGTACTAGTGAAGTGCCTCTATGCGTATGACAGTAAGAACAGTATAAATCATTAGAAACTATATTATATCTGGCATTCCAGTAGGTTGCACTTACCATGCAGCTCGGTCATATTCTCCCCAGATGCGCACAAACTCATCCAGATGGTGAGGTCCGAGAATAGATGAGTCTCGGGTCAAATACTCAAAGTTGTCCATAATCACAGCCACGAACAGATTCAGCATCTTAGGAAAAATAAAGTGGCAATATTCTGGATGTGGTCCAAGTGCACAAATTTCATTAATATAATATAAGAGGGATAGTCCACTCAAAAATGATAATTCTGTCATTAAATACTCGCCCTCATGTCGTTCAAAGTATTCGACGAGAATACTTTTTATGACTGATGCGGAAAAGAGAAGAAGTCGTTGTTTTTGTTTTCTCTGCGCACATAAAGTTTTCTCATAGCTTCATAAAATTACGGTTGAACCACTGATGTCGCATGGACTATTTTAACAATGTCCGAACTACTTTTCTGGGCCTTGAATGTGATAATTGCATTGCTGTCAATGCAGGGCCAGAAAGCTCTCGGACTTCATCAAAAATATCTTAATTTGTGTTTTGACGATGAACGGAGGCCTTACGGGTTTGGAACGACATGAGTAATTAATTACATAATTTTCATTTTTGGGTGAACTATCCCTTCTGTTCTGACTACAGGTAACTTTACACATACGTCAACTTATTTTACTAACCCTAACCTTATGGCCAACTAATACTCTAATGAGAGTTAGTTGACATGTAGTTGCAAAGTTACTTAATGATTTTCAAAATAAAGTGTAACCAAAGTTGTTCTTGAAGGGTGAAGGCCCAGGATCTTTGCATATTCATAACTACTGTTAAATATGCTAACATATACATTTGAGTTGAACTACTGAACAGAGTTGCATCTGTATAAATGAATAAACCAAGCGAAATCAAAAAGAAACATGATTGTGGATGTTAATGAGCAGCGGGTACTAGTGAAGTGCCTCTATGCGTATGACAGTAAGAACAGTATAAATCATTAGAAACTATATTATATCTGGCATTCCAGTAGGTTGCACTTACCATGCAGCTCGGTCATATTCTCCCCAGATGCGCACAAACTCATCCAGATGGTGAGGTCCGAGAATAGATGAGTCTCGGGTCAAATACTCAAAGTTGTCCATAATCACAGCCACGAACAGATTCAGCATCTTAGGAAAAATAAAGTGGCAATATTCTGGATGTGGTCCAAGTGCACAAATTTCATTAATATAATATAAGAGGGATAGTCCACTCAAAAATGATAATTCTGTCATTAAATACTCGCCCTCATGTCGTTCAAAGTATTCGACGAGAATACTTTTTATGACTGATGCGGAAAAGAGAAGAAGTCGTTGTTTTTGTTTTCTCTGCGCACATAAAGTTTTCTCATAGCTTCATAAAATTACGGTTGAACCACTGATGTCGCATGGACTATTTTAACAATGTCCGAACTACTTTTCTGGGCCTTGAATGTGATAATTGCATTGCTGTCAATGCAGGGCCAGAAAGCTCTCGGACTTCATCAAAAATATCTTAATTTGTGTTTTGACGATGAACGGAGGCCTTACGGGTTTGGAACGACATGAGTAATTAATTACATAATTTTCATTTTTGGGTGAACTATCCCTTTAAGACATAACTGTAAATAGTATCAGGGAGAGTCAGCTAAGATGTTTTTTTTATTGTGTAAACAAAGACTCATCTGCAATTGAAAGATGCACATGAGAAACTACCTCCACAAACACTTAACTACCAAATGCATAAACAAAGGCACTTACTATAACCTCTTATTTACTTAAAACAAATGATCTTGTCCTGTTTAGCTTGTGTATTAATCTAGCTTATGCTTTAAACTTGGCATTGTTTGCAACCAGGCTTTGTATGACAAATTGCTTTCTTATAATTTCAGCTGACAGCAGACATCCCAAAATATAACTGGTTGTATTTGTTTTGCCCTCTTGCACTGAACTTGAGTAGAAAGTAATGTTACTCTATATGCAATGTACATTTCAGAATTCTGAACAGGACGATGATAAAGTCTCACCAAAAATGAGCTGAAAAAGATGAATGAGACAAAATAGAAATAGGCAAAGTCCGTGCCACAGCCCCCTTCGTGATCTGGAGAGGTGAAAGTTGGTGGTATCGAAGGGTCCAGTTCACACTCCTTCCCCCCGAGACACGAGAGCATGATCTCCTGCCACGACTCTCCTGTGGCACTTCTGCAAGACGTAAAGTAATATATCTACCCAGGAATGAGTCACCAAACACTAGAGCACTCAAACACCTCTCCAGTCTTGTAGAAAACATAAGAATGAGTAAATGACAGCATTTTCATTTAGAGGTTAAATGCACATTTCATTAAACTATACATTCCATTAACTATAAACAAAAGAAAGAATGCTGGTCTAATTCTACTAAAAATAAAGAAAGTAAACAACAGTCATTTTTTCTCTTACCTAAAGAGCAGCATCAAGGCACCAAAGAACGTTTTGAAATTGGTGTGTTGATTAATGTGGCTCTCATCATTCAATTTAATATTACCGAATACCTAAATAATAAGATAAGAGAGATTGTTAGAATCAATCTATACTGAATATAGATTTCATATCGCTACTCAAAAAGCCAGACTAGCAGGTTTTTGATGCTTCGGAATTTCTGGTACGTTGTCAAAAATGGAAATAATCATCTAAATGTGTGCCCTAATATAATTTGGGGGGAAAAAGAAAGACTGCAGATTTGGGTTAGGACTTTAACACACACCAACCCACAAATACTGATGAATAAACAGATTTGATCATTTATAGAGACTGAGCTGCCGAAATACAAGTACATTCTGATATTTGGGGAAGTATTCAGCCAATACCATAAAATTATGTAGTTTATGGGAAAAGTTTACATCATTTTGATAACTGCCATACATGATATGAAAAACTTACTTGCATGCCAATAATGGCATAAATGAAGAAAAGCATGGCAATGAGAAGGCAAACATATGGAAGAGCCTGAAACAAGAAGAGAGTGAAAAGATTGTTGTACAAATCTTTCCTTTATTTATTATTTTCCTTTCCTTCATTATATATTTTTTAGACTGAGCAAAAAAAAAAATTTTTTTTTTTTCATGACAAAAACTTTGGCAATTTATTTTAGCTTTCTAGACATGGAAATCACGATTTTAAAAGTCTGTTTTTTTTTTCATGACCACACAAACCCTGAAGAATAGTGGTGCATTCAGTACACATGTGATTTTACCTTGAAGGACTGAACAAATGTCCACAGCAGAATCCGTATTGTGTAGCCTTGTCTCAACAGTTTAATGAGTCTGGCTGCCCGGAAAAGCTTCAGGAAGCTCATATTGATGGTGTTCACAGACTGAATAAAAAGAGAGGGGCGAGAAACTGTTGTAGTAAAGATTACTTGATAGACAATTTAAACATTTATCTTGTTTATTTTTAGATATGCATTTACTGAAAAATAAGTTAAAACAAAGGAAACAAACAATACAAGTGGCCCAGAAACCCCAGCACTGATACACACTTCTGATTCATATACTCGGACCACTACATATGAAATATTCCTACCTGTAAATCTACCACAATTTCAGAAATACTGCCCAGCACAGTGATGAAATCAAAGATGTTCCATGTATCACGGAAGTAGTTCTGTGAGACGAGACCAGAGTGACCATAATATGCAAGTAAATCAATTCAGGTGCATTCTTCTTTGAATGATACTCATTAAAGGGATAGTTCACTCAAAACATAACATGTGCTGTTAATTTGCTCACCCTCATGTCATCCAAGATGGAAGTTACTTTTTTTCTTCTGTAGAAAAATTTTGAGACCATCACTTTGAGAGTCAAAAAACCATATCAGGCCACACAAAATTAATCCCCATGGCTCCTTGTGATATATGTTTTGTGAGATATGGTTTTTGACTCTCAACGTGACGGTAGCCATTGATTTGCATTTCGTGAATCACCAAAGGTCACAGTTTCAGCTAAAAATCTTCTTTACTGTTGTACTGAAGAAAACGAAAAAAAAGTCTAAGGGTGAGGAAATGACCAGCAACTTTTCATTTTTCTGTGAACTGTCCTTTTAACATCAATGCGATGTCATTAAACTCACCATGAACCCAAAGGCGAAAATCTTTAAGATGCATTCCAGAGAGAAGAGCACAGTGAACGCAGTGTTGAGGTGCTTCAGGACGATGTCGTAGGCAGCTGGCGCCGAGTGGTACTGAAAAGCATTACGGTTATAAATCACAAATGCTGTATGCATCTCAAAATATCTCATTTAAGCTCTTTCAGCTAAAGATGACCATGAAAACCAAAACCGAATATACAGCTTTACTTTTTCAAATTTACAGAATGTGTTCCAAGCTGGAATATTGTATGTTGAAAGTTATACCTTCATCATGAGCACTACTGTGTTGAGTGCAATCATGACTAGAACCGTGTACTCGAATGACGGCGACACCACAAAGTGCCACAATCGGTACTGGAGGGTCTGTCTGTTCTGAGGCATGTATCTCGTTAGGGGTTTTGCACTGATTACAAAGTCAATGCATGCCCGCTGGAAGAGTGAGATAAGAAAGCAGCGAAGGAACATGCAGGTTAGTACTGCTGATTAGAAACCTTTATTATTTTTCATGCTTAGATCAGACTCTTCTTCATAATAATGCCGTTAATATCACTAAATGGTGTTAATAAAACCTAGCTATGTGGAAAAATATGAAATAGGTTGATGTGCAATCCAGTCGTAAATGTACATTCACCTCGTTTTTCTCCAAGTTGCACTCCTCCATCATTTTGTCTCCCTGCTCCTGGAATGTGATGATGATGAGAGCAACAAAGATGTTGACAAAAAAGAAGGGGAAAACCACAAAGTATATGACATAGAAAATGGACATCTCCATTCGGTTTCCTCTGCTTGGGCCGTGGTTTTCCTCAGTCATGTCCACCGAGTGTTGGAGAACTCTGTAGAAAGCATAATGAATGCATCCAATGAATTCAACAACAAACATTTTTTTTTGCAATTTATTTACTGCTACATGGACTGAATATGATGTTTGTTTTCCCAAAACATGGCTCCGTTCTCATTTAAGAAACCTGTGGACATTTCTGGGTTCTCAGAAGTGGAAGTCGTCTCTGGGTAAACTTCTATAGTGGTGGCCAGAAACATTTCTATGCATTTCTATGACTTTCCACATAAAGAACAAATATAGAGAGAGTGATTGTGGTGGTCAGAAGAGAGAAATATGTCAAATTTGCCATTAGCCATTGTCTCACTCTTTCTGTAAATGAGTGCCAGAGTAATATAGCTCACAGTATAGTGTTACAAATGTGCATTACATTTTTTAATTGCTAAATTTATGATGGAAACGCATCATCACAGTCTGTGAAAAGCATCCATTTTCAGTATTTAAAATCTGCAGCATTAAATCTCTTCCTGCTTCTTCACAGACATGCTACTCAACCCACACTCAATTCATCAGTGACAGTCCACATTATTTCCCCTGCCTTTTCAACCACTGATTCTTGGCATCAACTCTTAATCAAACATCTCTCCACATGGATCCCAACTCAACATTAGTCTCAGCAGTAACACTGTAACATAAGGACCATGACAAACAGAGGTGGCTCGCCAATTCTGGGTCTAAACTGATGTTTTCTAAACTGATGACTGTACTCCAGAAGTCTTCAGACAATCCATCATTTCTGAAAACAAGTTGTCTGGCTGCTTATAGGGATTAATGTGCACATCTTTGAGAATTTGCCAATAAGTACCAAAGCTGGAGAAAAAGATTGTAACAAGATAAGATCTGTTATGAAAGGTGGGACCTGCAAAGGTTTCTTTGAGCAGTTATCTAGACTGTGCACACAGTTTATTATTGGATGCAATTAGCAGCATCACGTCTCTTATAACGGCGTGACCTTGAAGAAATGTTTTATGTGGAGGCTCATCTTTCTAAGCTCTATGAATCTCTTTCATAAATCAAACGATGGAATAAAATAATCTAAATAACAGTGCCGATAAAAATACATTTGCTTGCCTGGAGTTGCATGGTTGTAACAAGATAAGATCTGTTATGAAAGGTGGGACCTGCAAAGGTTTCTTTGAGCAGTTATCCAGACTGTGCACACAGTTTATTATTGGATGCAATTAGCAGCATCACGTCTCTTATAACGGCGTGACCTTGAAGAAATGTTTTATGTGGAGGCTCATCTTTCTAAGCTCTATGAATCTCTTTCATAAATCAAACGATGGAATAAAATAATTTAAATAACAGTGCCGATAAAAATACATTTGCTTGCCTGGAGTTGCAACAACTATAGTTCTCTGTTACCTCATCATAATTATGATGAGTTGGATTAAAAAGTAGAAAGAAGAAAAGACCTTCGGTTGCATTTCCATTTCTGTAAAAGTCTGGAATATTACTATGGGTGTAAAAGTAAACTGCGTCTACAGTCCACTGGAGTTGGCGCTTCCTTCTTTAGCTTTTCCCTGGGTTTGCTCGCACACATTTTTTAAGGTGGCTCGTTCCAAGCATCTTGGAGAAGGTGCCACAGTTCTTCTATGGATGAACCCCAGACTGACTTGAAGATGGTGAGATCAGATCTTTGCGTGGGCCACACAATCTGTTGTGGGACTCCTTGTACATACGAAAATTTCACTGGATTATAACAATATTTGCAAAAGAAGAAACAAAACAAAATATGAATAACCGTCTTAAAACGAATGTTTTGTGTCACATAATGTGCAGACGATGTTGCACAGTTCTTGTATGTTTCAAGGGTTTAGAACATTTCTGGAAAGGTTCCGGTAACTGTCGAGTGATTTTGTTCATTCACACTGCCAAAAGCTTTCACAACGTGACATCTATTGTGCTCGCCGAGAAGCCCAGCTCTTTCACGTTTGACATTTGCCAACATTTCTGGCATTCTGGATCCGATTTGCATTTCCACAGAAGGCACAGGATTTCCAGAAGCCCAGTGCTTCATTCTGATGGCATTCACTCCTCTGATTTTGCATAGTTTAATGAGCACTAAAACCTTGTTAACATATTAATATATTTAAAATGATTGAGATCTGGCTAATTTAAATATGGTCATTTTATTCCGTCCACTATGTCTTTAAACAGGCACTTACAGTATGCACAGAGAAAAGCATTATCTTTATGAGCAAACAATAAATGCTCAAAAGTATTCACCTCTACATCGCCGTTCTCCGGAGGAGGTTTAGACAACCTGTCTGAAACTAAAACGTAGAAAGCTAAATCTCCACTGACACACATTTTCTTGGCAGATGTGTTACAAATACTTGAGAAGGCAGCAGAGTAGCCTAGCATCAATAGCCCTGCACTGACAAGCCTCTTCCTTTCAGAAGTCTCCATCTCTCTCAGATCTCAGAACAAACTTGGGAGCTGACCAAAAATGCATCATGTTGCCAAATGCTCAAGTAAGTAAGAAACATCCAGGCCTTCCTATTGAGTGCATTACTGTATTTTTCTAATTCACTTTTCCTATAGGGATTTGGTTAAAGAGTTATAAGCTATGAATCAAACCAAACAGCAATGAGAAGAATCACAGCACTTCAAACTTTGATTTGAAGCAAAACATATTTAGAAAATCTGACAAAAAGACAAAGAAATAAGATGTCTGTGTGTATGTAACGTCTGTAATCATGCGGAAACTACAATCCCATGAAGCACTGTGAATGACATAATCTATTCAAAAGCAATGGAGAAATATAAAACAATCCATTCAAAGTTGTTGATTGTAAATATAGGATCAATATATTTAAGTTTATCTCAAAATATGTATGCATACTTATGTGACCCTGGACCACGGTGGTCATAAGGTTTGAAATTGAGATTTATGCATCATCTGAAAGCTGAATAAATAAGTTTCCATTGATGTATGGTTTGTTAGGATCGGACGATATTTGGTTGAGATACAATTATTTGAAAATCTGGAATCTGAGGGTGCAAAAAATCTAAATATTGAGAAAATCATCTTTAAAGTTGTTCAAATTATGTTCTTAGCAATGCATATTACTAATCAAACATTACGTTTTGATATATTTACGGTAGGAAATTTACACTATCTTCATGGAACATGATCTTTACTTAATATCCTAATGATTTTTGGCATAAAAGAAAAATGGATAAGTTTAACCCATACAATTTATTTTTGGCTATTGCTACAAATATCCCCCAGCGACTTAACACTGCTTTTGTGCTCCAGGGTCACATATGTTATATACATGATTCGCAGTGCTTCATGGGAGTGGGTGGAGCTAAATATATGGTTTGGCACGATTTGCTTGCTGCAACTTTCTGATTGGTGGAATTTTCTGCACTGCACCATGGGTAGTGTAGTTTTTCACCAGGGTTTCTGCTGTTAACCACGATTATCTTAAACATAAGTTGAAATAATGCGAACTGACAGCTTCATCAAAAGCATGAATTCTGTCTTCGGAGTGTTATAAGATATTGTAACAAATCAGTTTCCCTATGGAGAAAAAGAATAACCCAACTGTTGCGCTCTATAACCCTACTCCACAAAGCCATGAGTAATTGTGACCTGGTATATTAACATGTTTATGAAGTGTTCTGAAGCCATCAAGTAGTTTTAGCCTAACTGAGGTACTCATTTTACATTTGAATTAACTATACAACAGTCTGGTGCAGTATATAAATGAATGGACATACTGTGGCCAGCCCTCTCCTGTGGACACAGTGAAGAGCGTCAGAAGAGCCCAGAGGACATTATCATAGTGGAACTCGTGTCTCCTCCACTCCCGCTTCTTCACCTCCTTCCTGTCCCTCCCATAGTCAATGTAGTAGCCTCTACACAACACAGAACAATTCAAACCATGGCAGACAAACAAACAAGACATGCATGAAGGAATACTAATCAATGCACAGTTGTACCAGGATTCCTGAACTCTTAATAAAATAAAAATACAGAACTAGGCCTTGCAGCGCTCCATCCTCATCCTCTCACTTCTGTAGTGTGACTTCATTTGAGATTCATCTCGATCGATCTATCAGGCTGATTGGGAAGTGTTGTACTCTCAGTCCCACACAGAGATGGGCAGAGTATCCAAAAACTGTACTCTTATAGAAATATTTACTCAAGTTAAAGTAAAAGTAGTACGCTTAATAGTTACTTGAGTAAGAGCAAAAAGTATAAAAATGAACAAAATATTTATAATGTTTTAAAATGTACAATATTTATTATGTTTGAATATTCAAAGCATTTCACGGGAACAAAACATGCAGGTGGCTCTACAAGCCTGAACTGCACTGATGCTAGGAAAAAGTCTTATTATGGAATTTACTTGCAAATTTAAATATTGAATCATACTAAATTACAATTGACATGAGCAATATCTTCATGCATTGCAATGGAAAAGATAACCTATATGCTTAAGGCTAAACAAGCTAAATTTAAGAAAATCTGGAGTCCTTTTTGTATTATTTATTGAATGTAGGGATATTAACAATATAATAGAGGATCAAAATTCTGGATTGGGTATTTAAATATATTTTAATGTGCATTTTATTAACCCCTTACAACTGCGGTTGTTATTGTTTGCAATGGATTATTAAATCTAACTTCCAAAGTACAGACTGTATTAACCCTTATGTTGGTTTGTGCTTTACACTTTTTATGTAATATGAGCCTCTAGTGTTTGTTTGTTTTCTTTTCTTTTCTGTACATTGTAAGTGTTGCTACAGACACAGTATGTACATGTGTCAGTCTTGTAAGTGTTTCAAAAAAATTAATTAAATAAAAAAAATTTTGACAGCCTTAAGAATGTCTATGCATGGCTGAGCAAGCATTAATTCTGGCATTTCATATGTTGCCCCAAAATCATTGCTTTTTATAATAATGTATACAGCTACATTTGAATTATTAGACATTGGCCCACGATTGAGGCATCGCTCATGCCACAGAAAAAAGAAAAAAAATCAGCATGCATTGAATAAACTATGCATTTCTGAACATGTATTGCATTAAAATAAAGTAACAAGAGCAGCATTGCTCCACAAAGTAAAAGTACCATTTTCATTAGAAAGGTACTTGAGTTAAAGTAAAAATACAAGTAAATGTAATTTGTTACTACCCACCTCTGATCCCACACTCACACATACAGTATATATAAAGCACACGGTTGCACTTACTGGCATTCTTTTTGCGTCCCCATCGATCCGTCGGTACAGTAGAAGAACTTTCCCTTGAAGAGCTGCACTGCAATCACAGCAAAGATGAACATGAAGAGCTGGTAGACGATGAGGATGTTGAAGACGTTCTTCAGGGATGTGACCACGCAATCGAACACAGCCTGCAGGACAACAGAAATACTCATCATATCGCACATCCCAGATCTTCAACCGGCAATGCAGATGAGATCAGTTTCATACGCAGCTTTGTGCCATTTACAGAATGATGCATTCCAGAACAGTATATTATCTAATGCAATCAACATCACAATTTTACCTAAAGTCTTAAATGTATGTTTAGTCATTAAATTAGTGTAAACTGGATCATGATGAACATGGTGCACGCAGCATTGCATTGTCTACACTTTTATTTGCAAGTGATCAAATCAAACGTTTGTGCTTTTTTAGGCAGTGCAGTCATTTTCTAGCATGTTGGTTGCTATAGTAATCATATCAAGTCAATCCTATGTGACTTTGCTCTTCAATGACTGGAGACTGAAAGCTAAAAAGCTTTCTTTCGATCTGTTTATGCTTCACTAACAGTTAGGTTTATGGGTTAAACTGGTGGACCTTCATGCTTATATTTCACTTCCATACCAGTCTAATTTGTACAAAATCACCGCCTTGTAAAGTAGTTATGCTTTCTCATGAGATGGGGTTGGAACTGAAGTGCACTAGGCCGCTAACTTCTCATTTCTTTGTCATCTCGATCCCCAAAGATCTCTCATGATCTCCCATCTCTGATTCAATTATGGTTTAGTTAAATGGTCTGATGAGTATTCTCATAATTCTGGCTCTGTATATGACTGCATATTGATTTAAAATGAAAAAGTACTGCAAGTTATATTTAGCCTACTTTTAATTATTCACAGAGGGATTACTCATATTTGGACAGCAGAGCATCCTAATTCATTCATTCATTCATTAAACTGTGTGTGTTGTTGTGAGACTGTTTCAAAGGAATATGCTTGGAATAAGATATTTCTTGACTAGAGTTTCTGTGTTTGAAATACATAGCATTACACGCACGTACATTAGTTTATCGCCACAGCAAAAGTAGATGGAAGAATAAACAGACTAAAAAAAATACAGAATAGCATTTCTTTTTAATATTGAATGTGGGATGGGATTTAGCGCAGGAGGAACCCAAGACCTAATTTTTGAGACTCAAAGAAATGACTAATAACGTCCTTTACATGCATTAGTAAATGTTTACAGAATTTTTAAACCTGTTAGATGATGACTATGCAATAAAAAATAATTATTTATAACGTTTGAATATTCCAAACTATTTTGAGTAAAACTCAATACTTGCCGTTCATCTACTGTAATCCTTTTTTTTTTTTGGGATACAGCGCAAATTAATTGAAAGTATTGAGTTGAACTCTTTTGGAAGAATTTATTTGTCACATGTGGAATGAAAAAGTGTGCAAGATCCCCAGTTTTTCTTTTTTCTTAATATTCAAAGTAGGCATAATGTAAATATAAGTGAGCAGAGAGTTGGATTGTCCATTCAGGTTTTTTTTTTGCTACAAATGTAAAGTATATAAGGTGTGAAAGAGCAGATACCTTGAGCTTCGGAAGTCTTTTGATGGTCTTGAGGGGACGGAGAACTCGGAGAACCCTTAAGGACTTAATGGTCTTAATGTCTCGGCCTTTGTTGTTTCTGTGAATAACAAAACATATTATATTTTAGAAAATGTATATTTTGGGGGGGAAAAAATCCCACCTGCACAGCTGTCAATAACTTAGATATTTATATTGAATTAATCAAAATATTTGCAATTAATTGAATATAAGCCCCAAATGATCCGGCATCTTTGCTGCTAGATATCAGTATAAGCTGACTGACATCATAAATAAAAACCTAAGTACTACAAATTAACTAACTTTCTAAATCTTAAATGATGTTTAGTGCTGGAAGAACCCAAGGCCTAACTTTTCAGGCTCACACGATTTTCTTTTAATAATGTCCTTTACATGCATCGAAGGACTTTGCATGCATTAAAGTATATTTTTATGATATTTTTAAACCCGCTATTCAATGACTATGCAATGAAAGCAATATTTATAATGTTTGAATATTCAAAGCATTTCACATGATTCAGATATATTTTAGAAAATGTATATTTTGGGGGGGGAAAAATCCCACCTGCACAGCTGTCAATAACTTAGATATTTATATTGAATTAATCAAAATATTTGCAATTAATTGAATATAAGCCCCAAATGATCTGGCATCTTTGCTGCTAGATATCAGTATAAGCTGACTGACATCATAAATAAAAACCTAAGTACTACAAATTAACTAACTTTCTAAATCTTAAATGATGTTTAGTGCTGGAAGAACCCAAGGCCTAACTTTTCAGGCTCACACGATTTTCTTTTAATAATGTCCTTTACATGCATCGAAGGACTTTGCATGCATTAAAGTATATTTTTATGATATTTTTAAACCCGCTATTCAATGACTATGCAATGAAAGCAATATTTATAATGTTTGAATATTCAAAGCATTTCACATGATTCAGATGAACAAAACATGAAGTGGCTCTTCAAGCTTGAACTGCACTGATGGTAGGAACATTTATTATTATGGTACATACTTATGAGTAAAAAGCCATGATTAATTGCATATTTAAATAATGAATCATACTATAAATGTTAAATTGACAGCCACCTAATGCATAACCTAAGAATGTCTAGGCATGGCTGAAATAGTTAGAAAATGAGTGGATCAGACATCATGATATTAACACACATAAATAAACGATGAACTGAATTCATATTAAAATGGACAGACAATGTGACAAATGAGAAGCATCTGCTGTTACCCCATTAAATTCCTGGCAGCCACAGAGACACAATCCAAACAACAACAGAGAAGCATTAAAAGAGAAAGAACACATGTAAAGCCATTAAACAATGAACCAGAGTAGATTTATGAACGTCTGGAAAATCCTTTGATAGAAATACTTCCTTGAACAACAACACAAACATGCTTAACAAGAATAACCCGTAACATTTTGATCAATTATTGAGCGAAATCGTATTATCTGGCACATATGTCTAATGCAAGGCAGCTTTCAGATCACGTTAATAAGACTAGACTGCATGCTTTTAGGGCTTCTCTCAAGGGTTTCCCAAATAGACTATATTCAATTTAGGACACCATAATTTTTTTAATAACTGATGCTATTTAAATGTATGTTTAAGATCATATTTATATATTCCTCCAAACTGTACCATATATTCTAACTTCCATCTCAGTTTTAGAATATATTAGCAAGTATTCAAGAGTATCACTTATATAACTTAAATGAGGGGCGTCCAAAGTCCAGCCCACGGGCCCACAGCCTGCTCTGAATCAGCCCGCAAGACGCTTTAAAAATAGACCAGGATTTGGCCCACTATTAAGAGATTCATAGACTGCACTTTATATGTCTCTACCACGTATAGCCAAATCTCACAACACACCACCTCCACTAGTGCAGTCGCCACCGGCTTCTTCTTCTGCCTCCTGAGTTTCAGCGGTGAAGCGGCGCACACAAATAATAAATAGATTCTTTGCCTTGTCATACATATGCTATACACTTTTTGCATACACTCTTAAAAATAAAGGTGCTTCACGATGCCATAGAAGAAGCTTTTTGTCTAAATGGTTCCATAAAGAACCTTTAACATCTAAAAAGGTGTTATAAAGGTGTTATAAAAAGGTAAGAAAGAGATGGTTCTTTAAAGAACCTTTGACTTTGTAGAACCAAAAATGGTTCTTCTATGGCATCGCTGTGAATAGTAAGTAAGAGTGTTGCTATTTAGTATTATGGAGGTAAAATGCGCCTTATCAACCCTGTTTGATATGGCAATACAATGCAATCGCATTATTTTGGCAGTGAATATTTTGGGTGGGTTCTGCAGAGCTTTTGGACAGAAAATCTTTGACCCAATCTGACAACATTGATTGATGGTCATTAATGAGTAGAGTGGCCTAAACTGGGTAATATATATTAGCAGAACTAAAATTGCATCCTGGGTTTAAGCAGTCTTGTATTTTGCACACACTGTAGAGTTTATACAAAGCCAAATCCAGTGCACAATGGATTATAATCAAAGCCCAGATTGCATTTACATTTATGCATGTGGCAAAACCCTTTATCCACACCAAATCCACTTTTAAATTACATTCAAAGGATACTTTTTTTTCATTCATTTGCATTTCCTGGGAATCGAAACCATGACCTTGATGTTGCTGTTTGAGCTACATGAATGGGTTGTTTATGTTGCAATTGGTCATTATACTGTATGCTTCTACACTGTTTGTTTGTGGTGATGTGATAAATGGTTCATATAAATTGCATTTATTATATTACATTTTTAAAAATTGCACACATTTATATACAGATATATATACACATTGTAGACACATTTGATCAACAGGTCACAGTAAGATTAGATTATACAGTAAAGTTATCAACCCAGGCTCACTGGAAAAAAACATAGCTGTCGCAACATGTCTGCAAATATGTAGATATTATGCTAAACTGAGTGGTGTTTAAAAAAGCATGTTTAGTTTTTTTTTTTTAAATGATGCAATATCTGGTGAGTGATGCTAAAAGGTTGTACCCGAGCGCTCTGTATTGCAAGTGCAATGCTGTACCAAGTGAGCGACCGAGCAAGTTTACTACATCAGAAAATCCAAACGTACAGTATGTGATGCAAATGTCAAATTTGTGTTAACGAGCAAAAACGTTGTTGGTGCTTTACAGCCTCAACAGTTCCTTTGCAACTGGAAACTGCAGTGAATCGTATGCATTGGTAGTTTTGAAGTTTTGCAAGTAGGCACGTTTTTAAAAAATGAGCCTGTGTTGAAAGTTATCCGAGGTCTGGAGTCTGGCGTTGTCATATGTCTCTAAAACGTCCAGATAAATCTGACTTTATGTAAACAACTTGGCTTAGTCACACAAGGAAGATGGAGCTCATTTGAAATACTTACGTCAATGCAAAAGCAAATAAAGCTCCAACCACCACAATAAAGTCTAGAATGTTCCACAAGTCACGGAAATACGACCCATCATGAAGAATGAGGCCCTGGTCGATCATCTGTATAAAATGGCATAATGCACAATTATACAGAATATGGAGTATATATAATTTTCTGTATTTTATACTTATATGTAAAATTCTGTATGTGTCTACTTACAGTATATACTTCAGATATCATTGACATGTATCATGATGCCTATATTATGGGGCTAGAATAGTCTCAAAATAAATTACTATACAAAATAAATTATTTCGAAATAAAATTAGTATATCTGCAAAGAATAATTCATATATTCATAACTAAATTTACATTAAAATTGACACAAAATGAATCCAGGTAGGCACATGCTTCATATGCCCACCGCGAGTTATGATTGGTCAGTTGAGATGCTTAAATCTGATTGGATAAAATAGTATGACAGAAACACAAATGAAACAAGACCTGCCATTAAAGTCTCAAAACACACACACACACACACACACAAATTCACACACGTGACGATTTGCTAATGCAGATTCAACAAACATTTTGCACATTTAAAGCCTCCAAAACTTTGTGTGCATGCTTGTATATATATTTTGCATTTTGTGAATGTCAATTTGGTTATGAAATATATTAACTGTTGTTTGCAAATATACAAACTTTTCTTTTATGCATTTATGGATCTTATTTTGTAAATATGTTTATTCTGAGACTATTCTGGCTCCAAACTATAGACTGTGTATAAGCTAAACAGTAAAAAGGAGTTTGGAGTTTGCTGATATCTTTGGAGGGCAGGGTTTTGGATTAATGTCGTGAGGTTAGCAAAAAAAAATCCTTATACCACTTTAAATATAACAACTATTTAAATAACGTTTGAAGTAGCAAAGCAGTTACCTTTATAATCATTTCAAACGTGAAAACGCCAGTGAAAACATAATCGAAGTATCGAAGAACCTGTAAACACAGTAAACAAACCTGTCACAATGTTTTAAAGTCAAAATACTCATTAGTCATTATATGAAACCTTAAGTATGCAATATGTTGGAATGGTTTACTTTATTCCTCTCTGAATTGGTGCACACAGGGAAAACTTTGTGTGCATGCTTGTATATATGTTTTGCATTTTGTGAATGTCAATTTGGTTATGAAATATATTAACTGTTGTTTGCAAATATACAAACTTTTCTTTTATGCATTTATGGATCTTATTTTGTAAATATGTTTATTCTGAGACTATTCTAAGCTAAACAGTAAAAAGGAGTTTGGAGTTTGCTGATATCTTTGGAGGGCAGGGTTTTGGATTAATGTCGTGAGGTTAGCAAAAAAAAATCCTTATACCACTTTAAATATAACAACTATTTAAATAACGTTTGAAGTAGCAAAGCAGTTACCTTTATAATCATTTCAAACGTGAAAACGCCAGTGAAAACATAATCGAAGTATCGAAGAACCTGTAAACACAGTAAACAAACCTGTCACAATGTTTTAAAGTCAAAATACTCATTAGTCATTATATGAAACCTTAAGTATGCAATATGTTGGAATGGTTTACTTTATTCCTCTCTGAATTGGTGCACACAGGGTCCTCAGCAGCCAGTGCAATGCTGCTGGCCACGATCACCAGGAGAATGGTCATCTCGAAGTAGCGCAGGGTCACCACATAGTGGCAGATCCTCCTGATACTTTAGTTACACAAAGAACATAATTTTAGATGTTAGATTTGTCCTGTTCTATCATGCATGGTATACGGTACAAAAGCTAAAGGTGTGGGATCGTGTAAAAATGGCAGCTTACGGATTTGTGCTTTTGAAAATGAACATGCTGTCAGGTGTGTCGGGTTTGGGGGCAGTCGACTGTCCACCTCCTTTCTCAACATCATCATCATCATCATCATCATCATCGTCGTCGTCGTCGTCTTCATCGTCGTTACCCTCATCAGCTTTGCCTGAGTGAGAGGCCTCCACGTCTTTGAAGCTGACTGTGACGAGTCAAATCAAGAGAACAAAACAAATATTTAAGAATTTTATTTGCATCCTAAACTTAACTATTAACTTGCATACTGCTACAGTCAAACTTTCTGGCAAAATTAGTAATGAAATTAGATATGACTAGCTGAAATCCTCATAATAATGTTGTGAAACTACATGTTGTAAATTAATATTACTCAGTACTTAAATGTATAATTGCACTGTAACAAGGACATCTTAAAATGAAATGCACTGCCATTTGTTTAAAGGCTACTGTTCTTGAACTTATTTCATTTTGTTGTTCCCACTATTTGAAAGTAATGCACCATATATCGAAGTAGCTTTTTAGTAATTGTAGATAGAGGTCTGCATAACAAAATCTGTAAATCTTTTGGATTTCGATCAGTTTTTCATGCATAACTTCAGGTTTGGGTTTGTAATTATAGAAAAAAAAATATATTTGAAATATTTTGCTTTCATTTTCATCTTGTTTGGCACACAAATGTATCTAGCTGTGTAAAATGATTTAAATAAAATGGTTATTGGCTAAAATATCCTCTAAATTTAGCCATGCTATATTCCATAATTTCAGTAAATATTACTAAAATGACATTTAATTTTTGTTGACAAAAATTATATTTCAGTTGACAAGAAGTTCCAAATTAAACCAAATATCTTAAATATTTATATTTACATTAACACAAAACATTGAAACCTGGATTAACATTTAACACAAACAACATTTGAAAACTGTCCTTGTGAAAAGTTCCTGAAACAACATTAAAAGAAGTACACTGTTGTAATGCAATGCTGTGACTTCCTTATGCTTTAGTTATTCTTTCAGTGTTTTTTAGATGTGATTTTGCTACAGAAATGTTTGTTTTGAAAGGTTTTTCCAGACCAAAATGCTTTTCTATTTGAGATTAATTGGTTAGAAGTTATTTGCGGTAAAATGAAATTTAAAGAGAGTGTGCAATTTTGGGGTTTAGGCTGGTTTCTGTTTTAAAATTTCACAGTATTGATCAGGTTGGATCAGGGCACATTGTATCAGGTACACGGAGAGTTTGGGCATTAAAGTAAAGATTGTGCAAATCTCTAATTGTGGGACCTTTTCACCCGTGTCCAAATATGCCTTCATCCCTGTAAAAAGCAGTGCATGAAATAAGAAGCATGTCCGAATTTGCTATATTCAAAACAGCAGATGACCCAATACTTCCTATCTACTGTACCTACAGTACCTCATGAGGCCACAGGGAAGAAGTTGTTAATGGCAAGGAAGCATCACCACTGATGGTGTAGGACACATGGCATACATGCCTACATGATAGAAGTATGTCTAGATTGCATTCATACTGCATGCATGCATATTTTATAGAAGTACTTTCATACAGTCACAAAATAATCAAATGTAATGATTTTGCATGCTGCAACAAGATTTCAGAGTTGCTTTGGCTCTGAAACTGTGAATGGAGTGTGACTGCCAGAGTAAATATATCTATGAACTGCATAGATATATATGTCTCAAAGTACATATGTTTGGGTATTCACTGAACATGTATTGACCTGCACATATCAAACTTTATTTCTGAATTGTCAGGGTAACACTTTATTTCGATAGTCCACTTTAGACATTCTATTAACAGTAAGTAACTTTGCAACTACATGTCAACTAGCAGTTAGTAGAGTATTAGTAGACTGTCTGCTTAATATCTTCTAACACTTTCTTTGTCAACTTATTCTACTAACCCTAAACCTACCCTAACAGTCTACTCTGAGAGTTAGTAGACATGTAGTTGCAAATAAATGAGAATTAGTTGACATGAAGTTACAAAGTTACTTATAGTTAGTAGAATGTCTAAAGTGGACTATCGAAATAAACTGTAACCATTGTCAGTGCTCTATATGTTTCTGTTTGATATGTTGTGTAATTAAACTTGTCTGTTGCTAGGCGCACTCTCTCACATATCTTTACACATTAAAATCAAGTTTATATGATTTATCTCCTAGGTTTTGACCACGATTACCTGTGGTTGTTTGCATCTGAGATGCAATTAGATTTGTGCATTTATTATAGGCTGGAAGACATAAAACTGAACCCACTGAGTGCCACTTTTTTTTTTTATCTTGTGTTGGGTTTGGGGGGCTAAATGGCTTCTACTGTAGATTTCCGCAGAGTGAATGTTAAACTAGATTTCACCCAACACCCAGCACGAAGCCCACTAAAGCAATGGAACAGAATACTCTAAAGGCGAACTGCTCTTTACTTTCTGAGACAGCTGAAGAAGCTTAGATTGCCACAGGCATTGATGACCCAGTTCTGTGTCTCTATTAATGACTGTGTCCTCACTTTAGTGATTATCTGCTCTGCAAACAGAATCAATGGCTGCAGTCCACCCCCCTCCTTCAGGACTCAGCCATCAGCAGCTGAACTACTTCATTACAAATCAACACCGTTGCACTCTGACCGTCTTCCTCTGAAAAACTGCTATGCAGATCGAACCAAACACAATGGGCACCTCATTGCTGAAAATTGATTATTTCAATTATTCAATTTCTAACCCATACTTCATTCCATGCATCGTATATAATACATATTGGGTTATAGAAATGGGTTTCACAGGTCTGTTCTGATAAAATTACCAGTGAAAACAATGAGAAATGCAAAAAGGCACTTACTTTTCAGAGACTGGCATGTCCTGTGGCTTGACATGCTATACTACATATAATGTCATCATTATGCATGCATGATTTTTAATTAAGAGACTGGAGTATTTGTAATAAAAAAAATATGCATTTGTCACCACAGGACAAGATTTAAAGGTGACTATTCATGGCAAAGGGTGAAAAACTTTGTAAGGATACTTTTCTTTACCATTTAATGATACAATTTTAGAATAGTTTTGGTTTGATACTGCCTTCCAAAGAAACTAAAAGAACTTCAAATAAATTGGTATGATAAAATGGTAAATACTTCAGAAGACAATCCAGAGAAAATGTACTCTACAAAGTAAAGAACCAATTAAACAAGAAGATGATGGATGGACGTACAGACGGATGGATGGAAGGAGGGATGAATGGATAGATGGATGGATGGATGAAAGGAAGAAGGGATGGATGGATGAATGGATGGAAGAAATGGACGGACGGACGGATGCATTGATGGATGAATGGATTGACAGATAGATGCATTGATGAATGGACGGATGGATGCATTGATGGATGGATGGGCAGATGGACGGACAGATGGATACATTGATTGATGGATGCATGGATGGATGGATGCACTAAAGGATGGATGGATTGACAGATGGATGCATTGATGGATTGACAGATGGATGCATTGATGGATGGACAGATGGATGCACTGATGAATGGACGGATGGATGCATTGATGGATGGGCAGATAAATGCATTGATAGATGGACGGATGGATGCACTGCTGGATGGATGGATTGACAGATGGATGCACTGATGGATTGACAGATGGATGCATTGATGAATGGACGAATGCATTGATGGATGGATGGGCAGATGGACGGACAGATGGATACAATGATTGATGGATGCATGGATGAATGGATGCACTAAAGGATGGATGGACTGACAGATGGATGGACAGATGAATGCAGTGATAGATGATCAAATGGATGAATTGATGAATGGACTGATGGATGCATGATGGATGGACGGATCAATTACCAGTCATTGGTGCCATTTCCAACAAAGGCTGGGTTGATGTCTCTCGTTTAATGCTGGTTTCTGTCATACACTCATCCTGGTTTAGATAGCTGCCATTATTCTCAATGTCTGAGACTTCCCCTGTCATGTACTTAGATTCTGATGAAAACTCTTCTTTGTGCCTCAGGAATGGAGCTTCCTGGCTTTCTGCTTGATCTTCCATTCCAGTGCAGAGAGTCTGAAGCTCCTGAAGGCCAGATGCTTGGGGAATCCCAGTCACATCACCCACAAACTCCCTAAAACACAAATGTACAGGTGTGAATGATTGATCTTATTAAATAACGAAAATATGTTTCATAACTTTGCTGTGTGTTGTGCCTAGCAAGACATCAAATTGGAAACCAAGCTCAGTTCCATTCAGCCATACAGTAAGTTAACACTTTATTTTGATCTCCATCTTTAGACATTATGTCGACTATAAGTAACTTTGCAATAACATGTCAACTAGAAGTCATTAGAGTATCAGTAGACACACATTACCCCAACACACATTTAAGTAACTATAAATAACATTGCAAGTACATGTCAACTTATTCTTATAACCCCAACCCTAAACTAACAGTCTACTAATACTCTACTCTACTACTCTAATTACTAGTGCTGCTACTTACAAATTGTAATCTGTTTCTGATTTCAAATTAAATGGCAAAAATTGTAGTTAGTAACATATTCCATTAAACTAAACATTTTAGGCAATATAATCAGACTACTTTCTGATTACGTTTGACCTAACTCGTTTATCCCATTGATAAAATCGAATAATTATTTATGCAATGTTGAAATGTTGAGAAAACGCTTCTTAAAACCAGTGGTCAAATGTAGTGTAGACTCTCAGATTTCTGTGTAACTATAGTGTAATTATAGCCACCTGAATAGTGGCTGGTCTTTGTGTGAATGTCCACAAAACTGAAAGACTTTCTGAATGTTTAGAAAGGAAAATGTAAAAGATGAAAATCTGTGAGAATCATTCAAATGTGAATAATTTATTGCTATTGTGTGAACAATACGTAATACTCTAATAAAAAAAACTGTAGTCTGATTATGAGTATTTTCAAATGTAATATAATCAAGTTACAAGTACTTCATTTTTGCAATATGATTACATAATCCAGATTACATGCATTCAGTTACTAACCAGCACTACTAATTACTGGGATTGACGTGTAGTTTCAAAGTTCTCAACAGAATGATAAAATAAAGTGTTAGCAACTAGGGCTGCATTTCCCAAAAGCATCGTAAGCTTAAGTACATCATGAAACCAATGGAGCTATGATCAATTTAGGCTTAGGATGCTTTTGGGAAAGCCAGACTAGGATTGCACCAGGATCGTAACATTTGTCAAAAACTGTAGGCTAAGTACTTCACCAAACCAGGACAGTGACAGAATGTCAACATTGAACATAAACTAGCAACTGCGCAATTCACTAAAAGAAAATAAGCCATGATCTTATTCTTACCTTTGGCATTCCTCCTGACTCTCATTTTGCTTGCCAGACATGATTGTTTCTGTTTCGTACATGTGCATCAAGTTTTTAGACTGTGTTTCATCCATTTTATCCTCACCCTCCTCAGCCGGTTTCTCGCTGCACCCAAATTGCTGGTGATTCTCTGCATTTCTGGCCTCTGTTCTGAACTCTCGATGTCTGTGGCGTTTGTGCCGCCCACCCTCTGACACCCCTGCAGCGGCAGCAGCCCGAAACTTCCTATCATTACTGATCAAATTTGTGGTCATTTATAGACATTCAGTGACATGACAGTCCAGGAAACAAATGCACCTCCAGCAATATGTAAATAGGTGCACAAGTGATAAAAAAGCAGGAGGATTAAAGATGGGTGGGTGGCAAAAAAAGATTCTTTGTCCTCAAATATCCTATTAATCGTAAGGTAAAATAGATGGCTCTAGCTGGCAGCTTCTGCTCCTTTCGACTCCACATATTCTAGAGCTTCTGTTTGACCGCTTGGATGGCCTCAGGTGTGCCGTTCTTCTTCTCGTACTCCAGGTGACGCTTGAAGAAGAACTTAATCTTCTTCACTGACACACTCAGGTGAATCACATGATCAAAAAGCTCCCTAGAGGAAACAGGAAAATATTTTTGATTATGTGTTGATTATGTCTCAGTTCAGATCAGTATTTTAAGATTCTATTCCACTCTACATATATCAACTGTCAACAATATAAATAATTACACATTTAAAATATGAAATATTTTCATTAAATATTTAAAAAAATAATTAAAATTTTAAAATACATTTAAAAAGCTATATATATATATATATATATATATATATAATAAGTGTTTCAATGGCTTTAGTTAAAACTACATTTGTGTTTGTTATTTTATCCTTGTGAGCATCCATATTGATGCAGATTGCGTAAGTAACCATTTGTTATAGCTTGAAGCACAGACACATCGGTGTATGTTAGAGCTATGCAGTTTCACTGGTCAACTATTCAGCGGCTCAGAATATACCTTATAGAAATCTCTCACTATATGTCATGCAGCATCAGTGTCTTTGCTGTTTCTGGCAGGTCCAGTGGTGCACTGATGAAAAGTGTGTGAGCGGAGAGAATGTCCACATAACTGAGATGATGTGGGTGGGAAACAAAAGTGTGCATTTCTCCATTGACAGAAGCATGCTGCTTGCATTGTCATGTAAGATAATGTCTCATATGTCTGCATGCATGCAGTGTGGTTTGCTTATAATTAGGGGTGCTCCGATCCGATATTCAGTATCGGTATCACTCCGATACTGGCATTTTCTGCCGGATCGGGGTATCGGTCAGACGAGACCGAGTCATTAGTTTTAGTCATTGCTCAAGTTATGTAATCAACTAGTTAACACACGCACACAGACACACACACACTGCCTCATGTAGTAACCCGTGTGTGTGAAAATTGTGAGGTGTTAGAGTAGGTAAGTTGGTCTCGAGGCTTCATTTAAAAGTCTTTTGAACTGTATATTTGAATAAATTGTTTTTACATTTGAGTACAGTATATTTTATGTTTGTCTGTAAGAATGACCCTCTCACGTTCTCACCTTCCACCAAACAGCTGCATTCCAAGTAAAGCGAAGACTACGATAAACAGGAAGAGGAGGAAGAGCAAACTGATGATCGACTTCATGGAGCTCATGAGGGAAACCACCAAGTTCCGTAAGGATGTCCAGTACCTGATCAAACATACAGAATATCACACGTTTCTTTACAATGCCATTATTTGACCACACAGTACACTACTGTGGTTGGTCTCGAGGCTTGATTTAAAAAGTCTTTTGAACTGTATATTTGAATAAATTGTTTTTACATTTGAGTACAGTATATTTTATGTTTGTCTGTAAGAATGACTCTCTCACGTTCTCACCTTCCACCAAACAGCTGCATTCCAAGTAAAGCGAAGACTACGATAAACAGGAAGAGGAGGAAGAGCAAACTGATGATCGACTTCATGGAGCTCATGAGGGAAACCACCAAGTTCCGTAAGGATGTCCAGTACCTGATCAAACATACAGAATATCACACGTTTCTTTACAATGCCATTATTTGACCACACAGTACACTACTGTTAAAGTGTCTCACAAGATTTTCACAAGAGCCTGACTGTTTAAACGCAATTACATGTGAAAATGAATTGAATGCCAATCGTCCAGTATAATGTGGAATTATCCCATATTTAAGAGAATAAATTAAATAAAATGAATTTGTCCTATATTTCAGCATTTTAAAGACACATTTCATCATATTTGTATCCGAGTCTTACTTACTATTTACAACAAAATAAATAAATTATGAATGCATTTTTAAACAACCTCTGTTGATAAATCAAATAAAAAAAACAATGTGAATATTTTTTTTTTCAAACTGACAGGCATATTTAAAATAGTTTATTAAATACATGTTTGAAACTGTAGTTAAAATTTAACAATAACAAAATAAATTGATACATTCTTTTTAAATTGAGCATTTATGTTGCTTTTACAGATTGCTTTTCAGTATGCATTTGCTATTTAATTTAAATAATGCCTTTGGACAGTTCACACATAAGCAGCAAGAACTTATGACTGGATTTTATCGTGCTTCTCATAGTACCAATTATACTTTTATACCGGTGTTGTAGTTGAGAGAGACACTATTTATATGCCTGCTGATGCATTTAGATGTAGTTTAATGTGAATATTTGCATTTGCTGGTGGCTATCATGCAACAAAATTCCTTGAAAGAATGCCAAGATACTACTTGGACAAATGTTATAAACTTACTTTGTTATCTTAAAGATTCGTAGCAGACGTAAAGCTCTGAGGACACTGATGCCAAACGACTCTCCAGGCCTGAAGAATCCCCAAACCACTTCAAAAATACTACCTACAATCACCTGCACAAGACACAACATCATGCTTTCATTAGGATTCATCAGACTTATAGTTTGCAGGATCATTATTATTTTATTTTATTGATTGGAAAATGCTCTGGTTTAACCCTTGCGTTGTTAGGAACATTTTTGTCTTTTTCATTTTCTTCTCTCTTTTTAAAATTGCAAACAGCATCATTCTGGCCAAAAACAAGAATTTGTATACATCAAATACAGTGGCATTATGTAAACAAACTTGCGTTTAAAGGGTATAAACCTGAAAACCAATGAATTGTTGGTAGTTATGATCAGCGCTGATCATAAAAATCTATGTCATTGTGTATATTATTTATAATATTATAATATATAATATTTTTATGACAGTTTTCTCACACACCTTTTTGTCCTCTAACGACCTCCATGTAACTTTTTTTAAATTGAAGCACATAACTTAAACACCTACAGTAACACTTAAAACGTGAACTCTAAAAGATTCACTCACCCCACAATCAAAGCAGTTAAAGGATGAATGGAAGTAGAGACGGAAACCAAGGCCATACATTTTCAGAAACATCTCAGCAAGAAAAAGTCCAAGAAACACGAACTCTGCGTAGTCTGAAAACCGTAAAAATCATTTAAGTGTCAAAACCTTTCTGAAGAGGTAAGCACTTACTGTAGGCTGGGTTTTTGAAGTATTAATACCATGTCTACTCAGGCAGCGAGCACCAAAACTGCATTGCTCCCATTAAAATCAATGAAACTCAGTGACAGTTCTGGTGGGCTTTGTTATACACATTGGTATTTGTTTTTAGTCATTATTTGACATTTTTAGAATAAAGTATTTGGCCTTAGGTACATCCTTGTTGTCATTCATAAAAACTGCATATGGTGTCAACTCAGACAAAGGTCTGTGCTTGTCTTTTGAAATAAAAATGAAGGGACACTGACAGCTTAAGCTCTCGTGACAACACCACCTGCCTTGATCTACAGAGTGCTGGATGTCCTGTTGTGCCGTATGGAGTAATTTCAGCAACACTTAGACCTGCAGGGATCATTAAGTGAATGTTCGTCATCAATACACAGAACGTTTCTGACATGTGGAGCAGCAGAGTGGGGCATTTTTCTGTCTTGACAGGCCTATTTTTGTGCATTCGTTTTATTAGCAGCAGTTTCACTGGAGAACATAATGTTGCCCTGAAGTGCTTCTGCTAGTTGCAGCATGTCTCCTAATAAAATGTGCTTTTCAGAGCCGCAAGCAGTGCTGCAGATGTTTTCATCAGAAGCAACATTCAGACAATGCTTTGAGGAGTTTGTGATCAGACTGAAAGCTAACTTGAGCACCACAGATCAGGGCTGTCCAATCCCCAGTGGAGCAGAGTGAAGCCAAAGCCATGGAAGGCAAGCCTGCAACCTTCAGCCAACAATTAGATGTTAATTGCAATGATATTATCACTGCCATTTGCCTTATGTTGATATGATGTATATTAATGAATAAAGGACATGAATAACTTAAATATTGTATTATATTGTATGTTGGTTAATGAAAACAAAAATATGTTCTTTCTATGGCTTCCAGATTTCAACAAATAAATTACATTTTTAGTGACTAGTATCAGTATTATGTATGTCCAATGACACTATTAGTTAGTTAGTTTGTTTGTTTATTTGTGAACAGAATAAAACCAATTCTTAAATTGTGGCTTTATGTACAATGCAGTGACCAGTAAGAGACCAGCAATTCGCTCTTTTTTTACTGTGCAACAGGGTTGCCAGGTCTGCGCAACCAAACTAGACCAATTGCTACTCAAAACGAGCACGATCATGGCCAAAACTAATTTTACCAAAAAATCAAAAACACTCCAAAATCTTGTTCTGGGGGTCCTCCTTGGTCGAAATGGTTCAACCCTCCAACCCTAACTAAACACCAACTAATCAAGGGCTAGTTAGACTCACTAGAGTCTAACTAGAGCTGGTTGGAACTAAAATCTGCATGACGTTGGTCCTCCAGGCGCAGGATTGGACACCCCTCTCCTAAAGGCAAACACTATTGCTAAACAGCACTTATTCTTTCATTCTGGGTGACAGATGGTGCTCCAGTTATATACGCCATGGGCTGTTTGACTTGCATTAGACAAACCCTGAGGCCGTCTACTGATCATTTTCTGAACTCTCCACAAAACATATTTTCAAACAATGAATATGATTAGCAAACCGAAGGATACCGGTCTAATGCATCTGGTAAAATGCAACCCTAAGGGCCAGATTTACTAACAGCTTGTGCCAGTGCAAACCCTCTTTTGATGTAAAAAAACCAGCACGCAGTGAAAAAATAAGTTATTTTTGGAGGCTGACCTTATTGCATATGCATTTGTAGGAGTTTCCCTTTCAGATGCAAAATTTATGGTAGGAGAGTATTTAAATGAATCATGCAGTGTTACTAAGGTCTTGCAGCAGACCATTTATTTTGGTATTTGCACCATTGTTTATCACCCCCAAAAAATCATGTCTTAACCCATGCTCTTGGTAGACTGGATTGGTCATCATGGAAATGTGCTGGTTGTGTCTGTGTTCTTTTTATTTGCAAATTGTCAGTAAATCACCCACACAATTTTACACTTTTTACTTCTATAGGTTTATGCTCTCATGTGCCCTGTTTAGAACATCTGGCCCTAATATGCTAAAAGGAACGGTTGGGAATATTTTCTAAATGTCAGCTTTGGTTTCTACCAGTTATTCCAGTTTCCCTCAGTCCAAAGGCATTTGGGTCTGGTTACTCGGAGATGTTAAAATTGCCTGAAGGTGTGAGTGAGAGTGTAAATTTGTGAGTATGTATTAGTTGCAAGGTGTTTCCCGTGTTGAGATGAGCTCCAGCACTCCCCTGTGACCCTATAAAGAATAAAGTATAATATATACGGGCATAACTGTTTTGGAGAAGACTAGTGTCTTTCAGGTAGGATGGGGCATGTGTATAGGGCTAAGGAACAGGGAGATTATCTGTTTAAGAAGCTTGAAAGCCCAGGAAAAATGTTTCCTTAGGCTTGCTCTCTTGCTGCTCCTCCTGAAGGTTGTAAAGGGAACAGACCAGGGGCGGATGCTGTCCTTCAAAATGTGTGTAGTTTCTTTGGGCGCAGAGTGAATGCCTCGATCTGCTGATGCATTGTGCAGTCTATGACATCGGCTGTAATGTATTTCGGTTCAGCTGTCAAACAGTATAACAGGTTCTTCCCATGACACATTTGTAGAGGTTTGTGAGGATGTGTGTGCTCATGTCAGCCTTTCTGAGACTCTTAAGGAAGTACAGTCAATGTTGGTCCTTTTTTACCAAAATGGGGGTGTTCTAGGTGAGGTCTTCTCTGTTACAGGGATACTCCACCCAAAAATGGAAATTGTCAGATGTGCTGTATATGACTTTCTTTCTTCAGATGAAAAATAATCCATCTCTGTGAGTCCATATGCTGCAAGTGTATGGGATGCCCAAAGTTGACATCACACATAAAACATCACAAAGTAAACATGATGGTAATTCATACAACCTCAGGCAATGAATCAATTTACGTCAAGTATCAACTCAACCCATCTGTGACAGTTGGCCGGAAGCTATGGTTCATAGTTAAAAGGTTTAAAGTCTTATTTTCCCTTCAGAAAATACTGATTTGTCAGCTGGGGTTGTATGGATTACCGTTTTGTTCACTTTGTGTGGTATTTGAAGCATCCACTTTGGAGGTGAGTAATGATGAGAGAATTTTCATTTTTGGGTGAAGTATCCATTTTACCTCTTTACCTCAACATCACCTTGGAAAAACAATAATCTCTTTGGTTTCAATGAAATTTAGAGCCAGATTGTTTTCCTTGCACCACAGCTAAAGGTCTCTCACCTCATGTCTGCATGCTGTCTTGAAGTTGTGGGAAACAACACTGCCACCACTTTGTTGACTGAGATGTCATTATCCAAGAGATCCTTGACTCTCTGTCTATACATACCCTTGAATTTTATTATTTTGTTTTGTCACCAGATATGTAAAAAAACTGCAAAAATGTGTCTCAAGTAAGGAGTCAAGCAAGGAACCTGCACATCTATCCATAGTTTTCAGTTGAGTAATATGGTTAGAGTGGGAAAATAACATCATCTACACAACTGTTACGTGCCAAATGGGTCATAATCCTCAACAAACAGTGGTGAGGCTGTTGCACACTTTGATGGATGTCATGACTAATTTTGTGACTGATACGCATGGATCTGCAGTGTGGAAAAGAGGACAGAGTGGGGGTGGAGAAATGCTCTGAACATTGATCTCATAAGTTGATGTAGATTTGACCAAAGATGCCTGAAGTAGGGATAAAGACATGCTATCGGGGCAATATGGTTAGAGTGGGAAAATAACATCATCTACACAACTGTTAATGTTACAATGGGTCATAATCCTCAACAAACAGTGGTGAGGCTGTTGCACACTTTGATGGATGTCATGACTAATTTTGTGACTGATACGCATGGATCTGCAGTGTGGAAAAGAGGACAGAGTGGGGGTGGAGAAATGCTCTGAACATTGATCTCATAAGTTGATGTAGATTTGACCAAAGATGCCTGAAGTAGGGATAAAGACATGCTATCGGGGCGAGAGCTGAGTCCAAATCATTAGTGCTCATTCTGCTAGATGTATCTGCTGCTTATGTCACTATGAATCATCAGATCCTCCAGTCAAATCAACTGGTCACTGGTGTTCCTCAGGGATCAGTTATTGGACCCCTCCTCTTCTCTATATACACTACATCACTGGGACCCATCATACAGGCAACATGGTTTTTCCTACCATTGCTATGCTGATGACACACAGCTTTATTCTGGAGGTCATAATATAAATGGGGAAAAAATGGTTGTAGCAACACAAATTAGCATGTTTGTATAGCTCAGGAGTGGCCGCTGTGTCCAAGCATGCTTTTAACTTACCAGATGTTTATGCATTATTTGAATGCATTATTATTATCAACATCTTCCTACACTAACCTGATGCAAATCTGAAAACAAATGCAACTTAATATATTTGATCAACAAAACCCCAAAACATCATCTACACCTGAAAGTAATACGAATGATAAAATTAGTAAAACTGCTTGCACAGACTTCAAATTTAATGCCAATAAATTCATACCATTTATGAATTATTATAATGAGTATTACTATTAGTACAGCAGTAGTATTGGGGTGAATTAGATACTTACACTGAATAATAGTGAGCCATTCCGGTTGGTTGTGATGAACGATGGAAACACAAATGGTGTTGAGCGCCACCAGACTGAGGACTATCCAATAGAAGCTGTCGGTTTTAACCATGCGACGAATAGATATCCGCAACATGCGTTCCTTGCGCCGCATGTAAGCAGCCGGCCCTCGTCTCGCTGTCCGTATACCAACCCTCGGGCGGGGGCCACCTGACACCCCCAAAAAAATATTAGATATATCCATAGTCTCACAGAATGTCATTAGAAATGTAATCTTTGTTTCCTATTAGAAAATCAGCTGAGTTATTTCAAAAGCCTGAAAAATGGAGATGAGTTTATGGAATGTGTGTTGACAGTGGTTGTTTCCTTCCTTTCAGACAAATTGTTAAGATGACACATTTTGAATTGTATCTCAAACATAAAAAAGATTACACAGTGTAAAACATGTCAGGTCTTAATGTGGATGAAAACAAAGAGGTGGCATTTATATTTTACTCACCAACTGTAGAGACTTCAGAATATTTCTCCTCCCCTGGTCCTCGACGCCTTGCATTTTTCTTGCTGGTGGCCCGTTTCAAAACTAAAAACGAAAAGCGTTAAATGGCACCACTTGTTGGCCTTATGTTTCATATTATAAAGGTTTATGAATATACAAATATGCTGTTACTGTTTGGAAGTATTTGTTGTAGCTGCTATTACCCAGCTAACCTGGAACATACTCACAACTTTCTTTAATGTTTTTAAAAGCTATATATGATGTTATTTGTACCTGATGAACGTTATAAGAAACATTATTGTAACCCTTAAATAATGTTGCAATCATAACAAGACAATTTTTAACATTCTTAGAATATTTAAAATAATTAAATTGTGCTATATTTTGGGTAAAATCATTGTAGTAGAATGTTGTAAGAAAAAAAAAAAAAAAAAAAAAAACTGGACATTTCAACATTTTAAAAACAATGTTTGAACCACATTTTTATAACCTAAATTTGTTTTGTGGATATAGTCTCACAACTGCAAAAATTAATTTCTAACCTATGAACACATTTTCAAAAATATTTTCTGAAAATAGGTAATCTATGTTTATAGGCTCAGCCTAGAAGATCATTTTATGCAAACTTTAACTCTTCCCCAGGTTATAAATATACGATTATTAATAGCCTAATAATGAAAAAAAAAATAGTTTTAACATTTTTAATTTCACATAAAAGTCTTGCATTTTAGTAACACATTTATTTGTACTATCAAAATGAAATTCATACCATCTAACGCTGATCTCCCAGAATTCTTGTTTTCTTCTGCAAGCATTACTTCCTCTTTGAGAGAGAGAGAGAGAGAGAGAGAGAGAGTTTAAAGTCTTATTTTCCCTTCAGAAAATACTGATTTGTCAGCTGGGGTTGTATGGATTACCGTTTTGTTCACTTTGTGTGGTATTTGAAGCATCCACTTTGGAGGTGAGTAATGATGAGAGAATTTTCATTTTTGGGTGAAGTATCCATTTTACCTCTTTACCTCAACATCACCTTGGAAAAACAATAATCTCTTTGGTTTCAATGAAATTTAGAGCCAGATTGTTTTCCTTGCACCACAGCTAAAGGTCTCTCACCTCATGTCTGCATGCTGTCTTGAAGTTGTGGGAAACAACACTGCCACCACTTTGTTGACTGAGATGTCATTATCCAAGAGATCCTTGACTCTCTGTCTATACATACCCTTGAATTTTATTATTTTGTTTTGTCACCAGATATGTAAAAAAACTGCAAAAATGTGTCTCAAGTAAGGAGTCAAGCAAGGAACCTGCACATCTATCCATAGTTTTCAGTTGAGTAATATGGTTAGAGTGGGAAAATAACATCATCTACACAACTGTTAATGTTACAATGGGTCATAATCCTCAACAAACAGTGGTGAGGCTGTTGCACACTTTGATGGATGTCATGACTAATTTTGTGACTGATACGCATGGATCTGCAGTGTGGAAAAGAGGACAGAGTGGGGGTGGAGAAATGCTCTGAACATTGATCTCATAAGTTGATGTAGATTTGACCAAAGATGCCTGAAGTAGGGATAAAGACATGCTATCGGGGCGAGAGCTGAGTCCAAATCATTAGTGCTCATTCTGCTAGATGTATCTGCTGCTTATGTCACTATGAATCATCAGATCCTCCAGTCAAATCAACTGGTCACTGGTGTTCCTCAGGGATCAGTTATTGGACCCCTCCTCTTCTCTATATACACTACATCACTGGGACCCATCATAGAGGCAACATGGTTTTTCCTACCATTGCTATGCTGATGACACACAGCTTTATTCTGGAGGTCATAATATAAATGGGGAAAAAATGGTTGTAGCAACACAAATTAGCATGTTTGTATAGCTCAGGAGTGGCCGCTGTGTCCAAGCATGCTTTTAACTTACCAGATGTTTATGCATTATTTGAATGCATTATTATTATCAACATCTTCCTACACTAACCTGATGCAAATCTGAAAACAAATGCAACTTAATATATTTGATCAACAAAACCCCAAAACATCATCTACACCTGAAAGTAATACGAATGATAAAATTAGTAAAACTGCTTGCACAGACTTCAAATTTAATGCCAATAAATTCATACCATTTATGAATTATTATAATGAGTATTACTATTAGTACAGCAGTAGTATTGGGGTGAATTAGATACTTACACTGAATAATAGTGAGCCATTCCGGTTGGTTGTGATGAACGATGGAAACACAAATGGTGTTGAGCGCCACCAGACTGAGGACTATCCAATAGAAGCTGTCGGTTTTAACCATGCGACGAATAGATATCCGCAACATGCGTTCCTTGCGCCGCATGTAAGCAGCCGGCCCTCGTCTCGCTGTCCGTATACCAACCCTCGGGCGGGGGCCACCTGACACCCCCAAAAAAATATTAGATATATCCATAGTCTCACAGAATGTCATTAGAAATGTAATCTTTGTTTCCTATTAGAAAATCAGCTGAGTTATTTCAAAAGCCTGAAAAATGGAGATGAGTTTATGGAATGTGTGTTGACAGTGGTTGTTTCCTTCCTTTCAGACAAATTGTTAAGATGACACATTTTGAATTGTATCTCAAACATAAAAAAGATTACACAGTGTAAAACATGTCAGGTCTTAATGTGGATGAAAACAAAGAGGTGGCATTTATATTTTACTCACCAACTGTAGAGACTTCAGAATATTTCTCCTCCCCTGGTCCTCGACGCCTTGCATTTTTCTTGCTGGTGGCCCGTTTCAAAACTAAAAACGAAAAGCGTTAAATGGCACCACTTGTTGGCCTTATGTTTCATATTATAAAGGTTTATGAATATACAAATATGCTGTTACTGTTTGGAAGTATTTGTTGTAGCTGCTATTACCCAGCTAACCTGGAACATACTCACAACTTTCTTTAATGTTTTTAAAAGCTATATATGATGTTATTTGTACCTGATGAACGTTATAAGAAACATTATTGTAACCCTTAAATAATGTTGCAATCATAACAAGACAATTTTTAACATTCTTAGAATATTTAAAATAATTAAATTGTGCTATATTTTGGGTAAAATCATTGTAGTAGAATGTTGTAAGAAAAAAAAAAAAAAAAAAAAAAAACTGGAAATTTCAACATTTTAAAAACAATGTTTGAACCACATTTTTATAACCTAAATTTGTTTTGTGGATATAGTCTCACAACTGCAAAAATTAATTTCTAACCTATGAACACATTTTCAAAAATATTTTCTGAAAATAGGTAATCTATGTTTATAGGCTCAGCCTAGAAGATCATTTTATGCAAACTTTAACTCTTCCCCAGGTTATAAATATACGATTATTAATAGCCTAATAATGAAAAAAAAAATAGTTTTAACATTTTTAATTTCACATAAAAGTCTTGCATTTTAGTAACACATTTATTTGTACTATCAAAATGAAATTCATACCATCTAACGCTGATCTCCCAGAATTCTTGTTTTCTTCTGCAAGCATTACTTCCTCTTTGAGAGAGAGAGAGAGAGAGAGTGAATTTATATAATATATTAACAATGAAGTAATATAATTAATTCAACATTAATTAAATCAATTATTGGTTTATTCACTTTGGTTTGTGAAAAAAATGACAATTTGTAGGCCCCTTAAAAGTGATCTGCTGTACTGTAGAAACATCAACTATTCTGAGCACAGACAGGCACATATACAAACACTCCAGTCAGTGAGTCAGTGTCACCTTTCCGTTGACCCTTCACTGCGTGGGAGAACGAGCAGCTTCACACACTCATGTTCACCTGAATGTTGTGCTCAGGTGGTGGGTGGCAGGGTGAAATGTGAAAAGAGTAGTGTAGGTGTAGTACATAATCAGAGCACAGTCTGTCACTGAACCTGGGTAAAGACAGTGAAACTTCGCTAGCCTGGCTGAAATTACTGAGCCAAAAAATGATTACAAAAAGCCAAAGATTACAAACAATATTGCATTTTAAAACAAGCACCTAATACCACAGCAGTGGACTGTAGATACTTTGGCATAGCAGCAGTGCAAATTTGAGCATTCAGCAAAATCAAGCATCACAAATGAAGAGGATTTTGTGTGTTTCTACAAGCTACTGTCACATGTAAGGTGTTACATCAGCAGATATTACCACATCAACGGCCTAAAAATCACTTGATGTCTTTTTTCCTCTTCTCTCAAGAACTTGTCATCATCTTGTCATCATCCACCCTTCTCTGAAAACTCGTCATCAGTTCATTATTGACCAGTGAAAGCCTTCTGTATTTTTCAAGGTATTTCAATTAACCAAATTATTTAAAGGAACAGTTCACCCAAAACTGAACATTTTCTGAAAATGCTCTCACCCTCAGTACATCCAAGATGTAGATGAGTTTGTTTCTTCATCATATTTGGAGAAATGTAGCATTGCATCACTTGCTTACCAAATCTGATGAAGAAACAAAACTCATCCTAATCTTGGATGACCTGAGGGTGTGTAAACTTTCAGCAAATTTCATTTTTGGGTGAACTACTCCTTTAAAAGAGTCATCCAATGCCAGGAACTGCAGGCTTGTTTCTCACCCCTGACGTTCAATACACAACATCTGACAAAAATGTGATAAACACACAAACGGCATGCTAAAAACAACAAGACTGATCAACACGAACGACAAAAGACTAATAAACCAGTGCGAACACTAGAATGCATGCAAAAGCACCATGCATCCTTCATAACAATCTCCAAGATACATCTATAAACATTGTATTGCTCTATTCTTAACAACAACCACAAATTGTACAGTTGTACAAATATTTTGCAAACACAGACCAAGTCCCCAAATCCAGAAAGCATTGAAAAATGTCAAATCTGAACATAAGTAGCATAACCAGTAATATTTATGATTAAAATTAATGCCAGTACCTGCTCGGTCTATCCAGGCCCGGTAGCCGTTGAGTTCTCATATCTTAAAAGTATAATCTGGGTTTCTGCAGGATTTATAAAGGTAAATTTAAGACTTTTTAAAGATCAATTAAATTAGAATTAGTTAACTATAATAACCATGCTTTGCTTTTTTATTGATTTCACAAAAAGTAAATATATAATTTTAAAAATAGCTTAACCAGAATATGGAAATAACTTTTACGCTACCTTCTAATGCAAAAAATAAAATAATGCTTCCTCAACATAAGAATTAGTGACTCAATGAATGAATGAATGATGCATTTATATAGTGCTTTATTGAAACATAAGAAATCATGTTTTCTGAGAAACAGATCAAAATGCAAGTTTCTAAACAGATATCTGCCAATGGGCTCAGAAAAATCTACTTAATTGAAAAAAGTGGAGAAGTTTTCATGCCCCACTGAGAGATAAACTCACTTTATTTTGTTCACTTTCAATGGATGTTTAGATATTAGTTTTGGAAAGCAAGAAAAAAAATAGTGAGGAAGATACTAATTTCTGCAGTGTTTGCAACATTTAATGCCATGACTTTGAACTTAAAACTTTTTGCTCCGATTTAATATGCATTGAGCATAAATAATGACCATTTTGATAACATATTAGTGAAATTCTTACCCAGAAAGGACACCCAAAACAAGGTTGAGCACAAAAAACGAGCCGATAATAATGAGAGGAATGAAATAAATCCAATTCCATGTGGGCCCCAAAGCATCATTAGTCTGTGGAGAAACAACAGCAATCAATGCATAAAGTAAAGCTTATGTTTATAGTTTATGTTTGTTCATTACAGTGTATAGTGTAGAATATATTTTTTTTAATTATAGTAATTATAGCTTGCTGAACGCAAAAGAAGATATTCTGAAGTATGTTGGTAACCAAACAGTTGACGGTAGCCATTGACTTCCATAGTATGGAAATAAAACACTATGGAAGCCGATAGGGACTAGAACCTGTTTGGTTACCCAAATTCTATAAAATACCTTCTTTTGTGTTCAACAGAACTCATACAGGTTCTTATATAAGTCCTTTATCAATAAGTCAAAGCAACTGCCTTGTCATGTTTCGCAAAGGTATTCAGTAAAAGACATCATATTGTCATATTTATTTATAATTCACTGCATTTTAGTAAATAACTTCATATGTTTGGTCGGTATACAGTATGTGAATAAAGACAAACGATGAGTATCAATGAGTATGTAAATATTATCCAGTCAGTCAACTATAGAACTGACTTTTTTTGAAACGTTACTGCTGTAGGAGCTCACATTGTACAGGACGGCAGTCCATCCCTCCATAGTGATGCACTGAAATACTGTTAGCACTGCAAACAAGATGTTGTCAAACTGAGTGATGCCATCATTGGGCCCAATCCAGCTGCCACTGCAGGTGTACTTCTCAGGACACTTTCTCACGCCACACGCAAACTCCACCTCAGACGAGTCCACCGTCTCGTTTTCTGAAAGAACAGCAAAGTTACATAATGCATTCAGCGACTACACTAATATAACACATGCAATTATTGTAAACATGTTTTGACTGCCATCGTTTTGATAAACAGTATCATTTTTTTTTTATCAAACGTGAATGCAGGATATTTGTGATGCTTGCTTTGTTTGCTTTACGTTAAAATCATCAGTTAGTTGCAACATGGGATCATTGGAAATACGTGCCTCTACCTACCTTTCTGCGAAACTCAAAAACACACGAATCGCTGCAGTTTCCAGTCGAAATGAACACTAGGGGCAGTAAAACTGCGACAACTTTTATTCTTTTTCACACAAAGTAGGATTTGCAGGTCCACAGTTTCGATTAATAAAGCCTCATTTTCGCATAATTACTTGAGGAATACTATGTTATGAACTCAAAACTATTTTTAACATGCTGCGAGATTTGAAAACGGATACTTTTGAACGTTGCTGTCACATATCCAGCTTCATATGCATGAGTTTTCTAGTTTAGTAAGTTTGTTCGGTAGCTCACGTGATACGGCGTTGCACTTGAGTGATGAAGAGCTCCAGTACGAACCCCGTGAAACTACGATTCGACAAAACAGCTCAAATCCGCATAAGAAAGTTAAAATAGCACGGTTGCATTAGCGAATGCGTTTTTATATGACTTTTGCATTTGTTAACACTATCGGGTAGGTTTGGTGTAGGGGATGTTTCCAACACGATAGAGCATTAACTTTTAGCGACACTCACCAAATATTTAAATTATAAACCACCGCAATATGTACCTGAAGAAACGTAATACAAACACAGCAATTCGTGCCTATATCAACGTAAAAAAAAACGTGCCAGGGTCACGTATTGAACCTGCGTTTTGGCGCCACTCACTGGAGGTTTCTCTTTGAAACTGCCGCGAAAACGTGCAGTAAGGTATGTAATAATGGTGCTGCAGAACTGTATTTAGAGGCACGTATTTTGAATGAGCCTGGGTTGGTTAGTGATCCTCCGCGTCTAAAGCTAGACTTCATTTAGCTTCTCAATTGTAAGGCTGCATCTGAGTGATTCTACATTCCTTCTGAGGCTTCTAGACGAGAGTCCTCAGGAGCATCAAGCACTAGAATATCCTAACGGGGAACGTTCTCAGAACTTTGGTGATGAACATTCTTCCAGTAACGTTAATAGATTGTTCATTAAAAAAATTATAATGTTTGTTTAGAGTTATCTGGTCTTTAATAATGTTCTGAAAATGTTAGTACAAAAACATTATTTGGAACTTTTTCTGAAAAGTTTTGGTTGGGCGTTCATCTAACGCTTTTTGAAATGTTGCTACTTGTTTCAGAATGTTCAGAGAACATTCAAAAGTAACGTTCCCATAATGTTTGCAAAGTAACAAAACGGAATGTTTCCTTAACATTCAAATAATTAAGAAACAAATGGCATTCTGAAAACTTTCAGAAATAACATTTTCATAACTTAATGGAAATGTTGGCACAAAAACATTATACATTGTTCAATGTTTTTTTTTTTAAATGTTACTACTTATTTCAGAAGAACATTTAAACGTAATACTCCCATGCTTGCAAAATGATCAAATGTTTTCTTAATGTTTTTATATAGCCACAAATGTATTTATATAAATTGATATAAATGTATTACGTTTGGACATTCAGAGAACATTCAGAAATAACTTAATATGAATGTTAGCACAAAAACATTATTGTTCATGGAATTTTTTCTTAAATGTTTTAGTTTGTGTAACATTTAAAACATTTTTTAAAAATGTTTTAAAATGTTCAGAGAACTTCCAAAAGTAGCGTTCCCATAAAGTTTGCAAAATGATCAAATGTTCTCTTAATGTTTGAATGTAACCAACAAAAAAATAAGTTTTGAAGAACTTTAAACAATGTTCATGGAACTTTTTTTCTGAAATGTTTTAGTTCACCTAACATTTTTTCAAATGTTACTTTTTTTTCAGAATGTTCAGAGAACATACAAAAGCAATGTTCTCGTAACGTTTGCAAAATGATAAAATGCCATGTTTCCTTAACATTTGTATAACCAAGAAAAAAAAAAGCCCCATCATAAATGTTTCCGCCCCCACAGTCACGGTGTGAAAATACTTTTTAAAATGAATTTGGGAAACAATGCAGTACAGTGAATAACAACCGTCTGTGGTCTCACAGTGCTTTATGTGATTAACTTACAACAAAAGCAAACACGCCTTTTTGTCTTGCATTTCATAATGAAATTGGACGAGCTCAGTGCCGACTCATTTTCTGTTAATTCTTTTTCATAATTATATGCTAAGGACTGTGGGTGATTGGAGGACACACTTGATGTGTTGAACGAACGGCGCAAACTGAAGGCTGCCTTCCAAGGATCCTTCAACCTGAGACAGCCTTCGATGCAGTCTTACTAGCCTTCAGATCGAGAAACCCTAGATTTCACCTCAGCCACAGTGTAAACAATGTGCATGCTGCCATCTTTCTCCATTGATGGCAATTCAAAAAGGTTTGTTTATTCAGACAAAATAAGATTACTAATACAATTAGATGTTGTATATACTCTGGTTCTTTTTGGGAGTGTAAAATAGATCCACAGTATGTATTTCTTTGTCTGCTGCCATCACAGAGAGAAGCTTGGGACTGTGTCGCTGTCACCCAATCACATTTGTCAAGATATGATTTTCCAGTGGCGGTCGAAGGATAAATCACATGGCATTTTGGCTCACGTGGCAAACATGGCAGCAGAACTGAGCACCCAGGATCAAAGATGGCAGAATCGAATTGCACATGGCATGGCAGCTCCAGTATACTGCAGCATTCCCGTTTCATTTGAGTTAAAGGCTGAAAAGATTCTCCATACCGAGGATATCTGGAGAGGGCAGGCAAGTGTGGTGTAATTTGCCACTGTAGAACTCCAGACCGATGATGGCGAACATCAGGATGGCGAAGAACAGCAGAAGGCCGATCTGCAGCAGCGGCACCATCGCTTTAATAATGGACTTCAGAACTATCTGTAAACCTGGAGGAATCCATCTGGATTAGTGCAAGTACTTCTGGCCAATACTTTAAATGCTAAAGACTGCGTGTCACAAAATGATTTTAAATAATGGTGGATAAATAATGAGATGAGTTACTTACTAGGGATACCGGAGACTAGTTTGAGGGGTCTGAGCACACGCACAGCTCTCAGGGTCCTCAGATCCACGGGGATATTCATATGAGAACCGGCAGTGGCCAGAATCCTGCAGACAGAACGAAAAGAAAAAGAAAAACACAAATGGAAATAAGGCTTCGTCCACATAACCGTTAAAGGGACAGTTCACCCAGAAACGGAAATCCTGGCATCATTTACTCATCCTCAAGTTGTTCGAAACGTATGTATTTCTGTTGAACACAAAAGAAGATATTTTAAAGAACCAAACTGTTTCTGGTCCGATTGGTTACCAGCATTCATCAAAACATCTTTTGTGTTCAGAATTTTCATTTGTGGGGGAACTATTCCTGTAAATTCTGATGTTTTTCTATGACACAGAAATATCTTTTCCTTTACATTCAACATGACATTTTTCAAAGTTGCACGCTTGATTTAGCATCGAATTATACAATTATTCACGAATTGCGCTTCATGATGCACAGAAATTGCAAAACGCATTTATTTACAATATAGTAACACATTATTTCTCAATGTTTTGAGCTCTCTACACAGTGACGATAGAAGTTCAGATGTAAAAACTAAATGTGATTAATAAATTATACTTTACAAACTTCATCAACTTTAGTTAATGCTTTAGGTATAATTAACTAATACATTTCTAGCATTAATGTATTATATGAATACATACTGTAGTGATTATAAAGTGTTAAGATTAAATTATTATTTTACATTTATAGATTATATAATTAATTTACATTACTTCTATAAAGAAAGCGATCAAAGATCGTTCTCTTCATAATCGCTGGAGCAGTGCGAGTCTATGAGGGATTTTGTTTCTGCATTTTCGTCAAAACTCCCATTATAATCAATGCCACAGTTTACACTGCTCAACGAGTCTCGTGTTTGCATCATGTTTTCACTCTAATAGTTCTGATGAAAGAATGTGTGAGACTGCAGATCATTGAAAGTACTGTGTGCTCAGACTGTGTTGCAGCTCTGCAACCTCTGATGCGACGGGAGTAGGTCTAAATATAATGCTACAGAATAATCAACACTTTTCACCATTAGTTCATCTAGGCAGCAGTTATAGTAAAAATGCAAGAGTCCCAGACGTAATGCACATTTAATATGCAAAGACGTCAGCCAATCACAGCCGTGGGCGTTTACACTGAGTCTCACAGTAGACACGCCCTTTCAACAACGATGAAATCAGAGAAAAACGACCATTTATATCTAAATTAGGACCGTGTGTTTGAAAAATAAAAACTATATAAACATACTAAGATTGCTAGTACACCTCAGGAAATATTATAAAATAATAATAAAAATAAAATGCATTTAATTTTCTTCCCTATTGTGAGGTGCATCCAAGAGAAATGGTTTTTTGAATGAGAAAAAAAAATGTAGGGCGGGACGTGATTTTGTGCATCTGGATCGTTGAATTGTTCTTGTTTGCTATTGCTGGATCTCATGTGAGTTTATTGCATTTTTGTTTATTTATATTAAAGATTACGAAGGCACATGTATTGAACAAATTAAAATAATGATGCACATGGATAAATCATTTGAAAAAACAAACAAACAAAACAACAACACTGCAATATTCCATAAAAACATAATAGTCCGTTTTGATTTTATGGTGACTTTAAATGAGCTGCTACTATGGTAAGATGTCAGGGTGTTTCACACATGCACGCCAGTAGTTCATCCTGATATGTGCTACACTTAAAACGTCATGTGAACAACCTCACAAAAGAAATGGGAAGTGAGCACTTAGGCAGAGCTGTTACAGACACGATACGGTGACAAACACACTAGACAACAGCATCTGTGAGCACTAAGACAATTGCTAATATTCAGGAGGAACCCGAAGTCATGAACTCAGGGATAAAGCTGAACAAGAGAATATTAATTACAGTATGGAAGAGGAAAAAGGAAAAAGCGAGCGTCAGAAAGAGAGCGAGTGAGTGGGTGAGTGGATGAAAGCATTGCTCGGGGGTGTAAATGGTGTGAAAATTCAAGGTTGTGAATCTTTCTGTAGCCTCCAGAGCTGCAGCACGTCCGTACTATTGTACATCATGATTTGCATCAACAAATCCTTCATATCAGGAACAGAGAGGAGCCTGCTTCATTATGCCTTTTTATAAACATCCGCTTTTCTTACGGGAGCTTTCAATCTGTGATTCAGAGGAACTTATGTAATGCTTCCTGATCAATCAATGGACAACGTACAAAATGTACTGCGTTTAAACCATAGGACAGTCTGTTTAAAAACAGCCTTCATCCAACAGAACATGTGCTTCCTTAGGCTTAACAGTGTTTTATATATTCAAGGCTTTTTCTAACTGAACCCATTTTGTTTTGTGCATGTCATAATAATCAGTTACGTTTGTACCTTTGTGTCATTGCACACATTTCTATCAATCAGTGTAACATGACCAAACACTATTAATTATTTCACAATCTGATTTCTTTGTACCTGTCGGTGAAAAAGCTGCAATGCAAACATGAAATGAATATGGGCTCACCCACACATGAACACCTACACACAGCGCTGAACTGAGCTCTGAGAGCCAGTCAACGGGGAGGAAGATGGAGGAATAACATTATCAACACTTAGTGGTGAATCATCAGCATATCTGCAGCAAATGCTTCATGTTTCACACACTGTGAAAGAAAGGCTTCATGCCGAGTCTATGCTGCGTTCTGAACATCTGAGCACACGGTACGCTCATGCAGCTTTGAAGCAGTGCACCGTTGTCCGCTTCTTCAAGACACGCAGATGAAGTCCGGCTACATTGTAAAATATTCACACTTGACGCATTATCGAATATATTATTAGGGGAAATCTGAATGACATATTCTATGAATCACTGGTAACACTTTATTTCGATAGTCCACTTTAGACAGTAAGTAACTTTGCAACTACATGTCAACTAGCAGTTAGTAGAGTATTAGTAGACTGTGCTTAATATCTTCTAACACTTTCTTTGTCAACTTATTCTACTAACCCTAAACCTACCCTAACCGTCTACTCTGAGAGTTAGTAGACATGTAAATGCAAATGAATGAGAATTAGTTGACATGTAGTTGACATGTAGTTACAAAGTTACTTATAGTTAGTAGAATGTCTAAAGTGGACTATCAAAATAAAGTGTAATATTTGAATAGTCAAGACCACCCAATCCGAGACCACTACTCAGATTCATCTGAAATATCCAAATTTGCTGCTTGCGAAATGTCTTATTTTTAATCATTAAATACAATTAGAATAAATTCATCTTTGCACTGCAGTGGCGGCACAGAAGCTGCATCTGAATCGGTACAATCATCAGTTTTGGGGGTAACGCGAGTTACGTAATCAGATTACTTTTTTACAGTAACTAACGCATTACTTGTTAATTTAAAAGGAAATATGTACTTTTTCAAATAAGTAACGCCAGTTACTTTGTTTCCATGTGTTGAGTGACAGCTCTGGTGTTGCCACGGTGACAGAAATCGTGAGTAAGTGCAGAGCGTTGTGTGTGAACATGATCTTACTGTAGCTCTAGACTAAATATCAACATGTGTTTACTCAAAAACACATTCAGCGTTCCTCAAAATCAAATGCAAACTATGCAAAATACTATACAAGCCTGCTATGATTAAATGTTGAATAAGACAAATGTAATTTATATTTAATCCCATTTTATTAACCAATGCCTTTGCTGCTGACCTTCGATGATCCGATTCAAGCATACTAAGCAAAAATTACACATCTGTGTATCATTTGTGTTATTGCGGAATAGTGTTGAACTTTCTTCTCCTGTGTCATATTCTTCATGCGATTCGTTCTCTACTGTACAGACGTGAATTCACTTTTCCTTCAGCCTGAGGTGTATTCATCTCACTTCTGTTGTGAAAGGGCTTTTAGATTTGAAAAAGAAGAACTTTTTATATATTAAAAACAAACAAGCAAGCCCTGCCCAGATTTAAAATGTAATGTAATGCATTACTTTCCATAAAAAGTAACTAAGTAACGTAATTAGTTACTTTTTTTAGGGAGTAACGCAATATTGTAATGCATTACTTTTAAAAGTAACTTTCCCCAACACTGACCATTACAAATGCATAAGTAATGATGTTTTTAAAAATTACTTTTGTTTATTGAATATTTGTATAAATGTAATATCAAATTTGTGAAAACAGCTAGTTTGCTCTTGTGATATTGCTTAATTATATCAAATTAAAAAGAAAAATACTCACTGTGAAAAATACAGATCTCATATATGTAAGTATGTAACAACAATATCTTGAATTGTGTGGGTATTTGTATTAATTTTGGTGACATTTTTGACACAATTACTCATTAATTTCTGAGCCGGCATAAATCAGTGGATCTCAGCCAGGGGGCCGGGGCCCACTGGGGCCTCAAGATAACTTAAAATTATTTAGAATAAGATTAAACAAGCATTAAAATAAGCTAAAACAACTACAAATTCAAAAATATTTCTTAGTATTTGGTTATTTTTCTTATCTTTCTAGTCATGCTAAGCTATAAAATATTTTGGGCGAGTGGAGGGTGGCCTTCAAATATTGTCGAAATAAGTCAAAAATTTTGAGATCCACTGGTATAAATCGAATGATTTATTATTGTTATTTAGTTATTTATTTAATCATTGATTGCATTTGAAGCAGGACGTTTTACATCTACTCAAATGAATGATGGTTATAAAGTTTAGTGATATCCCCACAGTTGTGGTCTTGACCAGTCTTGAAACAAAATCCCAAGTCCTCTTAGTCTGAGACCAAGACAAGACCGAGTACAAATGCATTCAAGACCGAGACCTTCAAAAAATGGTCGTAAGACCGGTCTCAGGAAAGACCAAGCACTGTGTCTTACACAGTACTACAACACTACAGTGCCGCCGCTACGCAACTATTGTCTCTCTATCGTCATCTGTGGCTGAAACATAAAATTGCAGCGGACTTGTTTAAATCTCCTTTAGGTATCATGCACTTGTAAATGGTTATAGAGATAAATTAGGCATCATACACTGAAGGACTAGTAGACCTTCAAGTCATTCTGAATACAACAATCTCATGCTAAAACATGCGGGTTTGTTGCTAGGAGACGCATGATAAATTAAAACAATGTGTTTTAAGATCAGTTCAAAATATCAAACATGTCGTGATTCTACACAACAACAGTGTTTACAGCAGCAGCAAGCTACAACCCAACCACTCCTAAGCACTCACACGTACAATTTTGGGACATGACCATATTGTCAGGATTATGTGTGTTTTTGCCCCTGTGACCCAGTTTCTTCCTCATGTTGATTGTGTTAATTGTATTCCAGGTGTGTCTCGTTCCTCCCCATTTATCCTGCCTTTATACGCCCTAGTGACTAGTCTTTTCAGTTCTCGTTGGTCGGGTCTACTTGTTGAATGTCCTCCTTGTTCTCGGTTTTCCTGTGAATTATTAAAGACTGTTATTCAAGTACTCCTCGTTTCCTCGTTCCTTGCTCCCTGAGTGAATTGTGACACACACACATATATATTTAAGTGATTTTTTTCTCTCTATTTGGAATGTTTAGTGTGAAAACACTAATCACACTATTTATACTAAAAACAGCATAGAGTAGTGCATAAATAACCTGTGTGAACTGGGACACACATTCAGTGAAAGGCAGCTGTGGCTGCCAGAAATGCACTGTAATAAACAAATTGCAAAAAAAAGAGAAAAGAAAATGGTAGCATATTTTTTCTCTCTCTCTATTTTAAAGGTTGAAATCAACTTGACAGTAGAAAACATGCATTTCTTTAACTGAAATGTTGCTATACCAAATTACAACCAGCATAAAAACACAGGTGGTCACAAAGTTCATCACAATTAGATGTTCCACAAGCTGAAGGAAACACTAATATAGAGGAGCACACTGTGCCATGCACACAAACACAAAACACCATCATGATAGCACACATGACAGTAAAATAATCCAATAAATAACGTAACAACATAAGATGTGACATAAAACCATAATGTGCATAATTGATAAGAAAAGCAGACAGAAACATTGTTATTTCAATAAAAAAAGCCATCAAATGTGAGCTGCCACAGAGAATTCTGGGAATGTCAATTGTAAATTATGAGATGTCTTCTTTTTCACTTGTACTGTACATTTAACAGTATTTTACTGTAAAATTGCATTTTTTCACTGTATAGAGTAAGGGAACTTACCATTATTCAATTGACAGGTTTTTACAGTCTTTTACCATGAACCATTACCATTATCCTGCATCTTCAATAAACAAGCTACAGGTAGTCCAAAATGCAGCGGCTAGAGTCCTTACCAGGTCAAGAAGATATGATCATATTACCCCAATTGTAACAACATAAGATGTGACATAAAACCATAATGTGCATAATTGATAAGAAAAGCAGACAGAAACATTGTTATTTCAATAAAAAAAAGCCATCAAATGTGAGCTGCCACAGAGAATTCTGGGAATGTCAATTGTAAATTATGAGATGTCTTCTTCTTTTTCACTTGTACTGTACATTTAACAGTATTTTACTGTAAAATTGCATTTTGTCACTGTATAGAGTAAGGGAACTTACCATTATTCAATTGACAGGTTTTTACAGTCTTTTACCATGAACCATTACCATTATCCTGCATCTTCAATAAACAAGCTACAGATAGTCCAAAATGCATGCTTTCGTTTCAGATTTTAGTAGCCACTCTAAGAGAGATTTTCAGGAGAAAAACTGGCATTTAAAGACAAAATGGATCGTAAGGTTGTGTGCAAACATAATTATTATTACTTTGTAATAAGAAGTGGATCTTTCAATGCCAAACAAGTACATAGGATCAGATATAACACACACTCAGCCTCGAAGCACGAGCAGGACATATTTCTCTGTTAAACCGCTCTGCAATTAATCTGAGAGTAGATTTATGAACATTTTACACAGAATTATGTTCTGCTCATGTTTTATGAATGAACTCCGATGGATGCACTTAGAAATGTCTACGCAACCTTATAGAAATTACACCTTTCGCTGATGTGATGTGTGTTAAAATCAATGTCAGACCCATAAACACAGAACACACACATATATTATGCAAACAAAAACTTTTGTTTTGGATGCGATTAATCGCGATTAATCATTTAAAAATACTATTTGCGAGTTTATATCTCACAATTCTGACTTTATATTTCAAAACTGCATGTTATAAAGTCAGAATTGTGACATACAGACATTCAATTCTGAGAAAAAAAAGTCAGAAATGCTAGACATGCAATTGCAATTTCCTTTTTTATGTTTTGCTCAGTGGTGGAAACAAGCTTTCATATTTATGAGTATGCTTGGAAAACTACAAAATAAAAAAAAATACACAATAAAACATGTAGTACGACATACAAATAGCTGCATTTTGGGATACGGAGCTGCCTGAAGGGTACATATGAACAGGCTTGCTCCATCAATCAGAACTGAATGATTGAAGATCAGCAGAAACGTTCCTCGCCCACTTAAGAAAGTGGAGAAGTGCTTGGGGAAGTTCTGATTGTGCAAGCAGAAATCGAGGAGCAGATAGAAACTACAGGCCGTGCCTACCATAGCCATGTTTTGAAGGGAAGCACACGCCTGTAATCTCAAACTATTCACAGCAATGAAGTATCAAAAATCAGTGAGGAGAAAGAAAATATAAATGTCACTTACCCACTTAGCACAACAATGAAGTCCATTACATTCCAGCCGTTTCTGAGATAGGAACCCTTATGAAAAACAAAACCGAGCGCCACCAGCTTGATACCAGCCTCAAAACAGAAGATCCCAATGAAATAAGGCTCGGTCTTCTCCTAATGGACCCAGTGAGAAAGAAACAGATCAAATAATTAAACAAAACAATCAATAGAAAATATAAATAGAGAAATGCACATTCTAGTTTTGATTTTATACTGATATCAAACTGTAATATGAATCGCATTAAGGCTTGTAGACATGACATTAGGTTTATATTCTTCACTGTCATAAAGAAACAAGAACATGGTCTTCTTTTCAGTAAAAGACCAGTTGTTATATATTGCATGCATACTTTATAACAAATTGCATACATCATTCTTCATTCTTTTATCAGATATATTTCTTTGTATAAATTAAATACACGTGAATCCTTATTCATCAAACCAAACCAAACTTCTTTCACATTTCTCATCATAAACGCTATCTAATTCTAAGACAATGGCACCATAATCCATTAAGGATTAATCCACGGTAAGCTTTTACTCCCCCACAGAAAACTGTAAAGAAAACGCCACAAAATAAAGTGATCGCAAAATACCAAACTCACTATACACCTTATTGATGTTGCAAACTATATACAGACAAGCAGATGTGGGCAGAATTGTAAAGCAATGTGCAAAATTGCAGGTTAAGCATTTTCCTATCATAGAAAACCGTTATAAAGAAAACGCTTAACGTGGCTCAATGCATTCAGATAATGATACTAAAACTCAGTATACTCCTTACTGTTGATGCAGCGTATTGCATTCATGTTCTGGCCACATCTGCTTGTCTGTATATAGTTTGCAACATCAATAAGGTGTATAGTGAGTTGAATGCTAGGAATCCAATCATTTAGTTCAGTTATGTTTATTTAAAATATGAATATATTTATGTTTGTAATGCTTACCAGCCTTTTGGACATAGGCGTCTTGTCCTCACCAGGAAGATGCTGTTCCAGGGATAAAACGATGCAGTTGGCTATGATGGTGGCCAGGATCATATACTCAAATGGAGTAATGGCACAGGAGTCAAGGCAAATATTACATCAGTGGAAAAAAATGCATCAATGCATCTTCATCTCTGATGTGACAAAATGAGAATTACTGAATTTAAAAAAGACTCTCCTCTTCAAGACTGACACACTGTAGTGTACACTTCACTTAACTCACACAAAAATATTGTACACCTGCCTGCATTAATACTGCAAATACACTGTGTTTACATAAATGTTTATGTATCAGTATATGGACTTGTTTGACTAAATGCATACTACCTAGGTTGACTAGTGATCCAGTTGACCAGTTAAGTTTAGCTTATGCAAATGAGTCAGTGCTGCATTAATGGAGAGTGTGTGAGTGGATGAAGTGTGCATATCTTCACTGACAGACTCACTATAGCTGTATTGTTTTGCTTTAGCTCCTGTCAGCACTGATTACACAGATTTTGGATCATGCGTGAACACTCTGAATGAACTGACAATGTCCGTAAAACCAGCAGTGCGGTTCGCTTGTAAATGCTTTGTGACCCAACATGTCATTCACTATCCACCAACCTGAGTTATTAATTACTAACTGGTGCCACCCCGAATAGCACATTCAAGTAAGCCAGTATAAATGGAATTGAATGTGCCTTGGAGTAACACACAGCAGCGTTTTTTTACTCAATGATTCCATGTTACTGAACGAATCAGGTGTGTCAATGATTCAGTGACCCATTCATAAGGACAGTCACTTTGATTCTGAATGAATCAGCTGTTTAAATGAATCGATTGAATGAATGACTCAACGACTCACTCATTGAGACAGTGCCTTTGTGTCATTGAGCAATGACTTTTTAGTTTCATATTTAGAGTATCATTTCATTAAAAAAATAAATAAAATAAAAATGTAAAATCATTTTAATGTTATGGCGACATTGCAGCCTTAACAGTTTATGTGTAATAAATTTAAAGTTGAATCAAAAAAAAAATTCTAAATCTTTTTCTCAACTAACAGTAATATAATCTTTTATGTTTTACTAAAGCCATACTTGGACAGGACTAGTTTTCTAAACAACATTGCAAAAGATGCAACTCTTATCATGTAGCAGTTTGGATGGGACTCACATCTCTGTGGTGTGTTTTAGACGTGGGTGTTACAGATTGACAGTGGTGGCGTCCATCACGAATGACAAATTATTTAATTTATTGGGTCCCGCTTTATATGTGGGTGTTTTTAACTACTGTGCACTTACTGCCAAAAATATTTAAGGTACAATGTATCTGTTGTGTTCATGTTGAACTGCAAAACACTTTTGATGTTATTGAGGGTTCAATCATTTAGTATGATTAGGTTTAAGGGGTTAAGGTAGGGTTGACAGTGTAAGTATAGATGTAACTACACAAGTTAATTAGAGATGTAATTAAAGAAAGGTATTTTAAAATTTAAGTACAATGTAAAACATGCATGTACACAATAAGTGCATTCTATCAAATAATTAATTAAAATGTAAGTGCATAATTAAAGACACTGGTATATGAAGCGTGTCCATTTATTGTTTTCATTTTAAGTGATAATAAAAATAAACGAGGGGGCAACCAGCCAACCAGCCCATGGACATGCATGTAAGAATATCCAATTTTTTTTTTTAATAACATTTAATGAGCATCATGATCAGATTTTATAATTTGAACACAATTGCAATTTTACCTCGCTTGCAATTACAGTAAGCAGTCTGCACTGGCTGTGCTACGGACATGAATGATACCTCAACTCATGCAGCTTGTAGAGTAAAACCGTGCTATTACTTTTCTACGCAACCAGAGGGCCAATTTCACCATTCTTGTCAGATAAGAAGACGGTTGCAAGCGAGGTAAAATACTTGGAAGCTATAAAACAGCCTAAAAAAATGGCATTATAAAATAATAAGCATAGTAATGTCAGTTCAGTCAAGGATGCACTAACCTAGAATTTTCAGCTTTTTTATTTTTGGCATCTCTCTAGCAGCTAGGATTGCCATGGCAACCTGCTTTCTACACTTAACATCCTCCGGGGAGGGTTGACTGCGAGTTTTGCTCACCTGAGAAACATCCAAACATTATCTCAAGCGCTGCTTGTAATGTGCTTTCAGGCTGAAGTATGAAAAACAAGTGCATTCCTCATAATTACCTGAAATCTGCTGATTGGATCGGTAGAGCTGGATTTAATTCATTAAAGCTGAATGAATGTCAGGAAACATGAAATGTATTCAGTTTGTGGGGTGACATAGCGGCCAACAACTCAACAAGTGTTTAAAAGAACAAGTAACGGAAGACAGACTGCACAGAGAGGATGGGCTTATACATGTACAAGCAATGGGAACTAAATTAGTGTGACAACTACTATTAGTTTAGCAGTAAAAAAAAGAACTCATCTAGTCTTATAAATGTTATAATTTCCTCATATCCATATGTCTGTTTCTTATTGGGGTAACTGCCTGTTTTTTGAGAGTTGTAGCCTATTTATTCACTTTGAACCTAAAACTGGTATAAAAACATGTTGGCTATATAACATGCTGCACAAGCTGTAATACGCATACACTATATAACAGCATGGATTTGAGTGTAATACTAGTACAGTGTCTTGGGTTCTGTCCTACCTTTGCATAACAGACATTGTTCAGTCTGTGTTCAACATATAAATGAAATATGTAGCCGTGTAATTGTCCAAAACAGTTTGCTAGGGAAAGAGATTTGCGATTTATTTTCCCCAAACACAATCTCAGAGGCTTTGTTACAATCATTATGAAATTCTCACTATAGCCCAGAGCAATTTTTTTTTTCGTTCAGAACTTGTTCTTTTTAGAAGACTTAACTGAGTTGTCATTATGTTTTATTTAAATACCAACTTTGTTTCAGATGTTTCTCCAAAAGTCCTAAAAAATTGATCAATGAGATAATTGTTGCATACTGTAAGAGCGTAGAGCCGTAAAAATGAATGCAGATAGCTTTAACAGTTTTGTTGGTTCTTGTGACTATTAAACTGCACTTAGGCTCCGACTTCATGCCACTCGTGGTTGAAGAATGCACAACCATCAACTACCCAGCAAACTTTCTTCTCTTCTTAGTGAAGGACAGAGATGCATAGAGGCATATGTACCATAATGGACATGTACTACTCTACCACTCCAAAAAAGTACCTATACATACAATTTAGTGCAGTTTCCATCTGAAATTAAGACTACTGGCAGTAAATCACCAACAACTTTAATTCCTGTTCACACAGATTATGGTTGCAGGGTGAGATGATCCATTAATAAAGACTTATTTTTGCATGATACTTCATGAGATACTATGTTGCGACACTCAGGTACAAGTCCCATGAAACACAAGTCATGATAAAAGAGCTCAAAGACTTGTAGGAGCAAGTTAAAATGGCATGGTAGATTCAGCAAATGCATTTTAATCTCACAATTGCTTTTGTTAGTACTGTCGTTTAGGTTTAGTGTACACTCTAAAAAATGCTGGGTTATTTTTTTTTACACTCTAAAAAATGCTGGGTTAAATATAACATAGCGCTGGGTTAAAAAGGGACAACCCCAGCTATTGGGTTGTTTTTAGTATTTTTTACCCAGGTGAGCAATGGGAACTAAATTAGTGTGACAACTACTATTAGTTTAGCAGTAAAAAAAAGAACTCATCTAGTCTTATAAATGTTATAATTTCCTCATATCCATATGTCTGTTTCTTATTGGGGTAACTGCCTGTTTTTTGAGAGTTGTAGCCTATTTATTCACTTTGAACCTAAAACTGGTATAAAAACATGTTGGCTATATAACATGCTGCACAAGCTGTAATACGCATACACTATATAACAGCATGGATTTGAGTGTAATACTAGTACAGTGTCTTGGGTTCTGTCCTACCTTTGCATAACAGACATTGTTCAGTCTGTGTTCAACATATAAATGAAATATGTAGCCGTGTAATTGTCCAAAACAGTTTGCTAGGGAAAGAGATTTGCGATTTATTTTCCCCAAACACAATCTCAGAGGCTTTGTTACAATCATTATGAAATTCTCACTATAGCCCAGAGCAATTTTTTTTTTCGTTCAGAACTTGTTCTTTTTAGAAGACTTAACTGAGTTGTCATTATGTTTTATTTAAATACCAACTTTGTTTCAGATGTTTCTCCAAAAGTCCTAAAAAATTGATCAATGAGATAATTGTTGCATACTGTAAGAGCGTAGAGCCGTAAAAATGAATGCAGATAGCTTTAACAGTTTTGTTGGTTCTTGTGACTATTAAACTGCACTTAGGCTCCGACTTCATGCCACTCGTGGTTGAAGAATGCACAACCATCAACTACCCAGCAAACTTTCTTCTCTTCTTAGTGAAGGACAGAGATGCATAGAGGCATATGTACCATAATGGACATGTACTACTCTACCACTCCAAAAAAGTACCTATACATACAATTTAGTGCAGTTTCCATCTGAAATTAAGACTACTGGCAGTAAATCACCAACAACTTTAATTCCTGTTCACACAGATTATGGTTGCAGGGTGAGATGATCCATTAATAAAGACTTATTTTTGCATGATACTTCATGAGATACTATGTTGCGACACTCAGGTACAAGTCCCATGAAACACAAGTCATGATAAAAGAGCTCAAAGACTTGTAGGAGCAAGTTAAAATGGCATGGTAGATTCAGCAAATGCATTTTAATCTCACAATTGCTTTTGTTAGTACTGTCGTTTAGGTTTAGTGTACACTCTAAAAAATGCTGGGTTATTTTTTTTTACACTCTAAAAAATGCTGGGTTAAATATAACATAGCGCTGGGTTAAAAAGGGACAACCCCAGCTATTGGGTTGTTTTGACCCAGCGGTTAAACCCAACCGCTGGGTCAAAACAACCCAATAGCTGGGTTTGCCCCTTTTTAACCCAGCATTTTTTAGAGTGTACCCAAATGCTGGGTTCAGCCCATTGGGTCATTTTATTGGGTTGTTTTTAGTATTTTTTACCCAGGTGCTGGGTAG